TGTGTGTGTGTGCGCGCGTGTGTGGTAGAAATATAAATTCTCCACAATTTTTTTGATAATGAAAATAAATATATTTTCAGTTAAGAGTCAGAAAAATTGTCTATCACTGTCTCATTCCAATAGAACTGTCTGGTGCATGCTGTTCTTACAGTGGCTACTCTGTAGTTTACAACTCTCTTATCTTTAAGCTTTTCTTAAATTTTCTTTCTTCTTTCTACCTTCCAACTAAATACAGAGAGAAAAGTGCCCTTCAGTTTCTCAGTATGAAGCCTTTATTTCTGAAGTAACAAGACACCCAACTATAGGAACCATTTTTAAAATCTTTAAGGAGACTTTAAACAATCCTTCGTGACTAGAGCAGGCAAGAAATACAAACCTTCATTCCTTCCTTGAATCAAGGAGCACTACTGGAGTCAACTGCCAAAATTTTTAGAAGGTTTTAGAACTTACTGCACATTGTAAGACCTACTGAATAAAGGATGTTCTCTCTCAAGTGTTTTAAGGTTTGAAGAAGTACACCAAGAACAATCTACTTTTATTATTTGTTTATGAATTTATCTGTTTGCTTAATGCTTCTGCTAAGGATTAGCCAAAATCTAGCCATTTATATTTAGTTGTATAAATCTAAATTAAATGCTGTAGTATGTGGTGGAATGTACTATATATCAAGATACAGAGAGCATTGTTTTGGCATGTCAGACCCTTATTTGGCTAGCAGACTGCATGTGTTGGTACTTTTTTTTAAAGCCAATTATTTTGATGCACTGCAAAAGAATTCAGTTTAAGTAAATCTAAAGAATTCATGAGGTAGGAGTTTAAAAAATGTACAGTTAATCTTTCTGTATTCTCCATTAAGCAACACTAAGCATTCATACATGAATCCAAGGTAATTAAAGAGTGTTTTTCTGAAACTTTTTAGTAAGGTGGTTTTCCAACAAATGGCATTCCTAAGATAAAACTGTTGTATTTTAACTCATTTCCCTTTTTTAGCATTGGGTTATGTATGTGTGTTTGTTTTTTAACTTGAGAGCTGACTGTTGCTTAAGAAGTTTTCTTATGGCAAAAATAATGTAAATAATTTACTATGATCTGCATTTTTGCCAAGGATTCATTTCTTATTAAGACTATCACTAAGTATTTTTGGTTTTGTCCTTTATATTATTACAGTAAAGTTAGTAACTATTACTGGTACTTTTGAACTATTTGTATGCATTTGTTACCTTAAACATTTGAAGGAAGCACAAAAAATAGATTTAGTTAACCCAGGGAAACATTAATTTTTTTGTAATTCCAATTTTATATCACAGTTTTATTTTCTTACAAAATTAAGAAAGGCATTAATACTTATTAATGCAATTTCATTACTTAACATGCATATCAGAAAAATCTCAAAGACCAGAAATGAAAAAGACAACTTTTTTATTTTAACAGTATACTTCTTAGGCTCTCATTACCAGCTCTAAAGATCATTTTGGAATAATTCCATGTTGTATATTGTGTAGTTTATGAATTGTGTTTTTCCTTACTAATCCAGTAGCTATGAGAAATATGTCTGTCTGTCTGTTTCTCCTTCCTCACATCCTCTATTTTTTTGGTAGACCAGTAGCATGTTAATGTTCATAATCTACTTTCAGAAAGACCATTTATAAGGACAGCATGTATACCTGACCAGAGCTAAAAATGGAAGTCAGAAAACTTGGACTTAGTCAGCTTAATGCCACAATTAACTTAGGTTTTGCCACCAAGTAATATTGTAAAGCTAAATGATCCCCCCCCCCCGCCCCCAAAGAATGGTTAAATCACTTTTGAACACTTGGATGAAAGGTGCTATGTAAATATAACTACAAAAGATTCTTAATAAAATACAAATAGTGTAAAACAGACATATTTAAAACCTTTCTCTAGACCTTGAAACACCTCTCTCCATCATGACTCCCTAGTTTCAAGTATCATGTTGATAATAGCTATCATGGCAGTCTAGAGACACTTGCATGTAAAAAATGTAAATTTATTTTTAGGTGGGTAATTGAAAATAAATATAGGAATTGTTTTAGTTAAATACAGTAGGTGGTAATTTAGATGTATATTAACTAGCATCCAATTTGCACAACTAGGATATGTCCCAGGACAGTTACTGAAAGTTGAAATATCATTGAGTAGGAGGTGCCCCAATGAGGCAAATAGTTATCACAGCTTCACTGCTCTAAGATATTCTAAAACAGGGAAACTGCTGACTTAACAATACATTGTTGCTTTAAGTATAAAATACTTAATGGCAACCCATGGAGTATTGAATCTAAGTAAGCTCACCTGGAAAAAGCTCAGTTAAAGAAACCACCAAGAGAACACTTAAGACTGCAGAAGTATAAATACCAATTATATTCATCTTTTTCATATCCTTTCAAGAAAAAACTAAATAAGTACATGAGTACATTTCCTCCCCCAAAAGATACCTTTATAAGTAAACTTAGTAGGAAATCATTCTTTTTTCCCTTAGATGAAATTCTACCAAGCAAAATAGTATGGCCAACTAGAAACATAACTGGGACCCTTTACTTGACTAGGGCCTGGCATGCCTTTAATTATCTGGTTCTATTGTCAGTCAGCACCTAAGCCCCCAAAGAAACTAAAGAATTCAATATGTAGGGTAATAACTTAGCCCAGAGCTCCATGTGAAAATGTTTGGTCCAAGTTTTTAAACCAGTGGTTTACCAAAGAAGTCATGAAACAGGTTTGTATGTAGCACCTTTCATGCAAGGCATGGTAAGAGCCTACTTAAAAATCACTGTGCATATACAAAATTACAGCCACCTCACAAAAGTATTACGGCCTGCACTGTCTTAACAGTTTGTCAGGAAGTGGAAAACATTGTACCAAATCTGGAATTACAATGAGGAGTAATGTATGCTAAATGACTTTTGTATTTTAATTTACTTTTTATGATAAAAGTGGTAAATTTTTGTGTTTTTCTTTTCTGCAGTACTTAGTCATGAGATGTAGTTTTTTTTCTTTAAACCTTGAATGAATAATACAAAAGGAGCCCATTTTATGATATAAACTTGATGCACATGTTGAGATTATTTGAACAGCAAAATGCCTTAAAAAAAAAGGAATGCTTATGGATAAAGTTGCACTTACAACACCCTTTAACAAAACCTGATTTTAAAATGTCTTTTTCTTTACTTAAGGGTTCTGTTTTTCAGTGTTTGCCATTGTACTTTACAGCTGTTATTAAATACCAAATCAAACAATATAAAAGCATTAATATTTCCTTTTAAAGTATTGATGGAAATTTGGAATTGAGTGGTAAAATATTTATTACTTGGCAATCCCTAGTATCAGTCACAGAAATCCAATTCATAGCAATAGATACCACTACTTGCTTTTGTCTTTCTTAAAACATTTTTCCTTTTAGTTTCTATTTCTCCTTAAAAAATTAAGCTGTCTTAACATTCATTTAACAAACTGATCTAAAAATAAAGAGGTGCTTTTTAAATAAGTGGCTAGTAATTATTTTACAAATCATAGAATCTAAATGTTACTCTTTCCCTTTGCCCTGGAAAAATCTATTTCCAGACATAACTTATACCCTTGTTTAGTTGGTTCTGCCTTAATCATTTGGGTGGGAGAGACCACAGGGGAGGAAGGGAGGTAGTATCAGAGGTTTTGTGAAAGCAGAGTGTCAATCAATTCCAAAATAGTTCTAAATACAATTTATTAGATTGTACAAATCTATCTCCTTCATTTTCACTTTGGAAGGCAGAATATGTGAAGTGACAAGCAGCCTCTCCTGTGTCAGTCTTTCAGAGCTAGTTCTTACCATAAAGTAGGGAGGGCAATCAGTATCTTTGATTTTAGACATTAAAACTCATTTTTATATGTAAGGCAATCTAAAACTGCCTCTTAGAAGAGTAAAAACTAACACAGTGTCTCAGAAATGAGATTGTTTATGGAAATTATTTTCTACTAATTCAACATCTCTTCATATATTTTATAAAAATTCTGCTATGAGTGGACATGTAGATCCTCATAATATGTATCAAGAAATACTTTGCCATCTAGTTAACACAGATTGACTGGTACAAATAAGTACAGTAGCTACCAGATTGAAATTGTAATGAAACTTTTATATGATTAGAAATTATTGTACTATGTATCAGGTCCCCCCCTTAACTAATCAAGATTTCATTTAAATGAGGGGAAGAAATGGGTCAGTTTCCCTTACTCTATTTCTGAACTACCTTCTATGACGCATTATTCTGAATTCTTACACTGTTTGAGGCCATAATTGAAGGGTGACTAGTAAAATCTAATATACCCTAGAAAAAATGTTGACATTTCTAACCTCCAAACAAGTCAGTAATGGCTTACATATATACTGAATTTTTTAAATGTAATTTTAGGGCCTCACTGGTGATATAGGAGTCAAGTCTTACTACTGGCACTGCTGTGGCCTGGGCCTGAGTTTGATCCTGGCCAGGGAACCAACATGAATATTGCACAGACTTGTCTCATCGGCTGTTCCCCTTAGAAGTGTTTTTCAGTAGCTGTCTGTTCTCTCCACTGTCTCTTGAGAATCCTCTCAAACCCCCCAACCCCACAACTCTGACTTACAACCCAATTCTTATATGCATAAATTAAAAATCTTTTAAAAGAATGTAGTTTTAAAGTTTAATGACAACACACCATTTTCCATTTATTTTGAATGTTTTTCTACATTAAAAATTTCTGAAGACTTTTATAGAAAGCTAATTAGGCCTTCCCTATTGGCACAGGGGTTATAAAATAATAATCTCAAGCTGTTGTCAGCCACTGCAACAAGTTGGCTCCAGGGTAGTGAGTGTCATGACCCACATGGTACAGCAGACCTGCTTCATCTGCTGCTCCTCTCAGCATTGCATTTCAGTTAGTCAGTCGGTTCTGTTCCCCACTGTCTCTGGTGGGTGAATCCTCTCTCTGCCTTTCTTGCCCACACTCCAGTCCTTGTATGCACAAATAAATAAAAATAAGCTTTCTCTTAGAAAAAATTTAATAGCTTATTTTTCACTGGAAGAGAAACAGTTTTAAAAAGAATCCTATAATGGAAAATTTGCCCCATCCTGCTATGTTTTTCTTAAATTATCTTGTTAGAGAGCTTACTCTTTAAACTCCACTCTCCAAAGACCGCCACTGTCAGTTTCAATACATTGCTTTTGATTTTTTCCCTATGTACACTACCATGTGTAAAATTTTCTACATGCTCTTTTTGCAACTTTCTTTTATAATGAACACTATGAAGAAGTTATAACTAATTTTACTTAGTTTTGATGTTATTCTTAATTGTTTGAAGGCAGTCCTGGAATGAGAGTAACTCATTAGGGGTAGAGATGAGAATGGAATCTTTTTCAACTAAAACTAATCATTACATATATTTAAAAATAGTTCCAACTAAGGAGATGAAACAGTCCTCAAATGATTTTAGGTAGTCATCAAACCAAGGTGCTAAATATTCTTAGCACTTTTAATGCTACTTATATATTACAAATAGGAAAATCAGCTTTCAAAAATGTATTCTAAACAGTCAAATCAGTCATTTTTATCAAAATTTAGTATTATAGGATCATGTCCTGTTGTCTTCACAAATTTGAGAAAGTCTTCAGGGTTCAACCCCATAGATGCAGTATTGGTCATTGGATGAAAGTACACCTTTTCATGTCCACCTTCCAAAAATGCAGAATCCAGAACAAATTTCACATCTCCATTATCACAGAAGAGTGCCAACGGTGTGGCACAGCCTTTGCCAACTTGGAGTTTTTCTAGCATGGCTGTTTCATCAGCAAAGCGCAGATTTCCACTCCCAACACCTAACTGCTTGGCAAGATCATTTAAATTAATTTGTCTATCATGAAGAACTGTCACTAGCCAATAGCTTTTTTTCTTTTTGTCTTTAAGAAATAAGTTCTTACTATGTGCTCCTTTCAAATGCTGGATATGTGGCATCATTTCTTCAACTGTAAATACCTGTAAAATACCATAGTATAAGAATGCGCATGAATACACATAATTGCACTACATTGTTAGACATTTGCTTACTGACTTGACACAAGCAGCTTATGCCAGTTCCCACAATACACTGGTAGAGATCATTTCTAGCATATTGCTAAATGATTATATGCCATTGCCATCTCAATTCTTCATCTCAAGGGTCTCATAGAGGTCTTTAGGTCAGTTCTCTGTTCCACGATGCTAGCCAGACATTTCTAAAACCCTGTTTTTCCTTTTAATGCTGAAGGTTTATAGCAGTTCAGACTCGAGTCTCAATTTCTTACTTCCAAACCATGTGATAACCCCCACAAATGTGTAACCACAATGAGGAAAGATTTGGGAATAGGACGAACTAACACAGAACACCAAAACTGGCAATGTACACTGATAAAGAAGGGGGAGTATATGGCTAATGAGCGGGAAGAAGGTCAAGTTTCCATGTTAAATTTGTAAACGTGACAAATTTTAATGTGTTGACATGACCAGCTAATAGCTGCTACTCAAGACTTGGTAAAATCTTTGTAGCAACGCACCACTCAGGTTACACATTGGAAGTGAAATATTTCCAATTATCACATCAATACACTAAATCATATTAAGAATACCAACTATTGGGCCCTCCCTGGTGGCGCAAAGGTTGAGGCTCAGCTGCTTATTTCCAGTTAGATCCCCAGCCAGGGAGCTGACCCACATGGTGCCTCAGACCTCTCCTGTCTTGCCTGCTGCTCCCTCCCCTCAGCATCGTACTTCATCAATCTGCCCATTCTGCTCCCCACAGTCTCTGGTGAATCCTGTCAATCCCCCCCACCCCCACGCACTTAAGGCCTGTGCCCCAGTTCTGTATGGATATATAAATCTTTAAAAATAATAAGTATTGAATAAAATCCATACTACTAACGATTGTATCCAGCTTTGGAATATTTGCATGATCTATACATGGTAACCACTGACGAGTAACCTGGTCACCTGCAGATAAAATGAACAATCCGCACCAGTTAAAAGATGTACACGGTCTCAAGTGTCGCAGACTCCCAACATAAGGTGTGATCAAATCACTCCAAAAAGAACATACATTTTCTTTCAATAACTCCACAGTCCCAAATCTAGAAGACACCGATGCTCCTGTCAGGTTCCTTCCCTATTCTGGAACCCGGGGGGTACCTTTGGAACCGTTACTCTGGGCCACGCGAACCAGGGCACAGCTGCTCTTTGCGGCTTCACCGGATCGACGCCGCCAGAGCCTACCCACTTCTCCCCGGATTGCCCGTGGGAGCGACTCACCTCAGGGTGCTCCACGACCTCGGTGTGAATGTCTAGGGCCCCCAGCCGCTGCTCAAGCGCCGCCCGCAACTCGCCGCCCGCCATGACACGGCCGAAACCCAGGGCCTGCCCAGCCGAGAATAGAGTGGGGCCTCCCTCACGCCGACAGTCGGGGCGGAAGTGCCGCGTGGGACTGAGGCCGGAAGCCCGGCACCAGCTCTTCCGGGGCGGGCAAAGTCACGGAAGCAGGTTAGTGCTTAGGGAGAGAGGAAGGGCTGGCTGGTCTTTCAGACTTCATTTTAGTTTGTTACAATTTTTAGAGTTTACTTTCTGAAAGCTAATTTTGATATTACCTATGAGGAATTAGCCTTGGCATTCACAACTCACCTTTTCACGGGACAGTTTTCTACCCCTTGGTGACGCTTAAATGAGGCATGAAAATCCATATTATGGTTTCCTTTATGAATGTATATTAAATCTCAACTCCCAGGTAACTAGATATCCCTAGAAATGTGCGTCTCGTATGAATGACTTTAGGTCATTTCGGTTGTGCAATCGAGGGAAGGAGGCCTCTTAAGACAAAATATCAAACCAAACAGGCAAAGCTTCAGGAACCTCTGAAGGATTAAGTCTCCAGAGATAAGGGCAACAAATTCCAAACACCCTCCAGAACTAGAGGCAACAGGACCTTCTGAAAGAAGGCATAAAGAAAACCTGGCTTTAAGTAAGGGCTGGGACACAGAGACATTAAGAAGTGAGACCTCCGAGAACCAACCAATCACAGAGACTGGTGGCTCTAGATAAAATAATTAGGGGGAAAAAAGGGACTGTTGGCCTTTAGAATAATTGGAAGGGAAAGGTATATATATTCCCTGAGGCACTCCCTGGCCTAATTCCACCAGCCTGATAGTCCCACTTTCTTTCTCTAAACCAGTTTGCCTCGTGCTGGCTTATCTGAGCATCTGTGAAGTTCCTGCTGTGACTTCATGAGACACCAACTTGTGGTGGTCTAGTGACAGGGACTCAGCACTGCCATTGCAGCCTGGGATCTGTTTCTGCATGGGAGACAAGCCCTGAAAACCTGGCATTTCGGTCGGTATCTATCAGGAGGACATCAGAGATCACAAATTTTAAAACTAAGTAGTTTTATCCACCTTTAAAGCCATTGAACTGTTTTCCCTTCAAAGACACAATCAAATTCTTTGATCTCTGTCTGTAGAAACAATAGCCCTGCTGCCCACCTAAGTCAACAGCAAAAGCAGCACACCACAATGCCCAGTGTTAGGAAACATAAAAGGGGAATGATCACTGAGAACATTTCCTTCTTTATTATTTTATTTTCTTATTTGTGACTCAACTCTGTTCAGTTCTTGGCTCACTTAGTTACTGAAAAAATGTCAATGGTTTTCACACTGATTTATGTCAGTTCTTTATTACAAGATATGTGCCTTTTCATTTGTCATCTACCAAGTCATTTTCATTTTTTCCATATGAGAAAAAAATATTTTTTCTGATTTTATTTCAGAAGTTTCTAATTTTCAAGTGAGTGAATGTAATTCCCTCTTTAAGTTCTTTGGATGTAAGTTTAGAAAGCTAACATCCAGCAATAGAATGAATATTTTCTTTAGAATGTTGAACTTATTAATTCATTTAAAATTCACTTCTGCATATAAGTACTGGTGGTGCTCACTTTTATCACTAACATTCTGTCTAAGAAGAAACTACAAATTATTAGAATAGCAAAGATCACCAATTTGAAGATGACATATCCCAAATGATTGCCCTTAAATATATGAAGATGTTAAAAATAAAAACCCCGATCAAATCATGGTGTCCTGACAATAAGTAGAGGGGAAAAATGGAATCTGATTATATAAATTAATGTAAATCATGTAAAAGCAGAAAAACATTAGTCAAATGTAGGAACTTTATGATAGCTACAAAACAGGTACAGAAAGAGGGAAAACTATATGTGACATTTATCATATTGCTTACATAGTAGGATGTTCTGACTTAGAAATCTCTTTGGAAATGAACTGCCACTCATCAGTTAATGTTCCCTGTCTTCCCATTCCCATCCCACTAGCTAATGGTCACAGCTCAGTTTCTCAAATGTTACACTCACTACCTCCATCACCCTAGTCCAAACTATCATTTTCCTTATGATTTAAAGATCCCAATTTTGGGCCCTCCCTGGTGGCACAACTGGTTAAAGCACACAGTACAATGAGGTTAGCCATAGCCACTGCAGCACTGGCTCAATCCCCAGCCAGGGAGGTGACTCACTTGGCATGGTAGACCTCTCCTGTCCCACCTGCTGCGCCCCTCAGCAGTGTATTTCAGTCAATCTATCTGTTCTGCTCCTCACTCTGTCTCTGGTGAGTCCTCTCACACACACACCCCAGTTCTGGCCTGTACCCCAGTTCTTATATGCATAAATAAATAAATATTTAAAAAATAAAGTAAAGATCTCAATTTTTATTTATTTTAAAAGATTTATTTATGCATGCAGAGCTGGGGTACAGGCCAGAGGTACAGGGGCAGTGAGAGGTTTTATCAGAGAGAGTGAGGAGTAGAACTGGCAGATAACGAAGTACACTGCTGAGGGGAGCAGTGGACTAGACAGGACATATCTGCTGCAACATGTGGGTCGCCTCTGGGGCAGGGGACCAAACTTGCTGAAGCAGCTGCAGCTAGTTTATAGTGCTGCATTCCAACCCATTGTGCCACCAGAGAGGGCCAAGATCTCAATTTTTAGTCTACCCATGATTGAATGACTGAGTACCCTGCATCAAGTGAATCTTAAAACTAAATTATTTTTATTATAAAATGGTACTCAATTTATTTATGATGAAAGAACCTCATATCATTAAAATGATCCTAACCCAGATTTAATGTAATATTTATCAAATGTACATGTCAGTATTGGATTACCTACAAAGACGATAGTGCTCTTGGGAAGGAGGCAGAGGTAGTCAATTGTGACAGTATAGTGTCACTAGAGCTTTGGTAGTGGATGAGTGAAGCACGTACCCCCTAAATTATATAGTTTTGTTAAAAAAAAAAGTCAATAGGCCCTCCCTGGTGGCTCAGCGGGTTAAAGCACAGCACTGAGAATCTAAAGCCGCTTCCGCATGAGTTCAATTCCCGCCAGCCCCGGAGGTGACCACATGGTGTGGCAGACCTCTCCTGACCCGCCCGCTGCTCCCCTCAGCAGTGTACTTCGACCATCTGCCTGTTCTGTTGCCCACTCTGTCTCTGGTGAAGCCTCTCACCGCCCCTGAGCCTCTGGCCTGTACCCCAGTTCTGTATGCAAAAATAAATAAAATCTTTAAAAAAAAAAAAAAGTCAATAAAACTGGATATTTTTAAATAAGCAGCAATTTAGGAGAAACTCAGAGGAAATCCAGACAGTGTGTTCCAAGATGACAGATACATTGTCTACGTTGTCAGAAGGACAGCAATGAAGAGATTCATGTGGGGTGGTTAGCTGTCAAGATTTCTCAACAGCAGTGATCAATGGGCCAATCAAAATAGAAGCATAACACTGTTAAACTGGGCAGAAGCAGAATACTGAGGAGTAAATTCTAATTTTAAACAACCACCAACAGTGCCTTTTGTCAAGCAGCAAAGATGAATAAATATTTCTTCCTTAGCTTGAGGCCATAATGCTCTTCTTCAATACTATGCCAACTGGGGAAAACCTGGGCAGTAACCACAACAGCAGTTCACCAATAAATCATACTGTTAGCCTAACTATGGCCACTAAATAATAGCAAGACTAGGGCAGTTTACATAATGCCTCCTCCTCTACACGTGGTAACTTCACATGCTACCTAAACGTCTCCTCTCCTGGGTTCTTGGCTTCTTCCTTGCATGTCTCCCTTCTTCTTAGGTATGTGAGTTTTTTTTAACAACATTTTTAAAAAAATATTTATTCATTTATGCTTACAGAACTAAGGTACAGGCCAGAGGTGTGGTGGGTGAGAGGATTCACCAGAGACAGAATGGGAAGCAGAACAGGCAGACTGACAAAGTACTCTGCTGAGAGTAGCAGCGGGCGGGTCAGAGAGGTCTGCCACAACATGTGGGGCAGCTCCTTAGTGGGGGATCGAACCCCCCCGGGGGATCGTGCTGCAGTGGCTTCGGAGAGCTTCATAATGCTGTACTTTAGCCCGTTGTGCCATCAGAAGAAGCCGGCATGAAACTTTTAAGAATAAATTACTTCCGCAGCAGCCCTTTGGTCCACTTGTGAATAAGCAGGTGTTTCCGCAAACCTGTCTCATTCAGGGGCAGCTTTTTCTGCCCACCTGTAAGTGTCCTTTATCCCTCCCCCCCTTTTTTTAAATAATAAACCTGCTCGTTTGGATATAAACCAAAACAAATTTCTCTAAGAATTCGGCGTCTAACACTCCCTTGAGTCACAGCCCCAGAGTGGCAGTAGCTGATTTCCTGGAGAGGGACGGGATAAAACGTACTCGTGGCTGACTCGGAGAGGAGACCACCGGTAGAAATGCCACCTACCCCCTCGGGTAGGCGGCAACAGCCACTATTCCTTATCGAGACTAATGATTTTCGTGAACACCCACTTCCGGCAGCGCCGGAAGCTGGCCGGGACCATTTTGGCAATGGACTGAATAAGGGACAGTCCTCTCGGCCCGGAAGGAGATGAGCGCTGGGCCTTAGAAGCCAGATCATCCGGCTCTAGGTAGGAACTGGATGAGCGGGGTCCTGCACCCGGGTCGTCCCGGGTAGCGTATAGATTTTGGTCTTAACTGGCAGTTTCTGAATCATGTAACACTGCACTTCTGGAGCCTTTCCATGATGCATTTAACCCCGGCGTGATGCTACTTAAGTCTTACGTAATGAAAAGGTTCACAACCCAAGCAAGCCGCTGATTTCCTGTGTCCATGCTCTGCGGGGGAGTGGGCGCCCACTGCCCAGCCTCCCCTATGCTCAAGGTTTTCTGGGCTCGGGTTCGAAGTAAAACCGTTCCAGACTGTGATTTTTCTACAATGACTTCTTTTTTACCTTTCAGATAATTTCCAAAGTTTCCGCCTCTATCCTCATGTTTCCACCGATGCAATTACACATTTCCAACAGCCTTTTTTAGATTCCATGACAAGAATATCTTACAGACGAAAGAACATCGAATGGAGAGTCAGAAAGCCTGAGTTCTAGTCCTGACTGCCAGTAACTAGCGGTATGACATTTAAGAAGTTTTTTTTTAAACCTCTGTCGACTAGTTTCCTTTTCAGTTAAACGAGAGGCTTGGAATAACAAGCTTCCTTCCAGTGTTGAATTATGCCCCCAATGTGTTTTTCTAATTTCTGCTTCATTATGTATTTGTATTAAAAGTTGAATTCCATGTAAAGCCCTTTTCCCCATGCCATTAGTCTCTGGCCTTGTCAAATCTGGTTTTAGATTCATTAAAGAATGAGTCTAAGGAAAATATGCCTAAGTAAAATTTTTAAAATGTGCTGTTCCTGGGGTATTTAATGTACCTGAAAAACATATTTTAAAAGACAGATTAAGAAAGGAATTTAGGCTTTTTATACTGTGAACGAAAAACATTAAACACAATATGGTGGAATATGGTGCTCTAGAATGTTTGTTGAAGAAGAAAATGTACTTCTGTTATTTTAGTTGTTCCATTAAAAACTATAAAGCAAAGTTGTAGGAATGCAATCTTGAGAGAAAAGAAAATGAGACACAGGAGGAAAGGAAATATACTACTGGGTTTTGAACTCTATTACTGAGGTTTGTTCCAGTTTTCTCGCAATACATTCATCTTTCATTCTAAGAATACTATTCAAAAGGCATTATTTAATGGATGTGTATTGGATGCTTTCTTTACACTTTAAAGCCTGGGGGTTAGGGGAAAACCTGTGAGAAAGGAAAAATATTGAGGAAAGAACAATTCGAAGTAAAGGGAGCATATGTAAAGGCTCAAAAACTTGGTAGGAGTAAGGGGGAAATAATAAAGAAATGAAGTGAGCAAGGATAGATGAGTGCTTACATGTCATGTTTTGAGGTTGTACATTAAGTGGGGTATTAGGAGGCTGCTGGAAGGTGTTTAACAAAGGTGGTAAGTTCAGATTTGTATTTTAGAAAAATCACTGTAGTTTTGATTTGGTTATCTGCTGTTTCAGGATTAGAAATAGAACAACTTATAAGTTTGTCACTGTATTTCATTCCTACCACAGTGGGATCATTAATAGTAACAATAGTTAAAATGTAGAGACTACTTAGTGTGAAATCCTATGAACTTTTTCAGGGCAGGAGCCCAGTTTTACTCATTGTTCTAACTTTAACACTATGTTTTTTGCATGTTACAGATAGCCAGTTAATATTTACTAATTTTATCTCAATATTAACCAAAATACTATTTTAAAAACTTTTTCTCTAGGAGAAACATGAACCAAAAGATACTGAAGTTGGAGAACTTGCTACGATTTCACGCTGTCTGTAGGCAGATTCACAGCCCAGGTCAAAGAAGAATGTTAGCACATCAGAAATACGTGCTTTCAAATGCATACCCAGTGCGGCTGCCTCAGCTGTATGCCTGGCCCTGGCAAACATGCACACTCATCAGGACTGCTTTATCTCAATATAGGCTTCTAGTAACAAAGAAGGTAGTTACAGATTTCTGTCAGTTATTGTATTTCTATGCCTAGAGCTGAGTAGAAATCTATTTTTAGTATTTTGTCACAAGATCTTTATACCTTAATACTACTCTACAGTACAGTGCTACAATAATCTTTGTAAAGAAGACAAGTTCTAGTTAGTTGTTCATTAATGCTGATTAATTTGATTACTTGGAAATCAGTTAATAACAGTCAATTGAGGATACAGAATTTAGAAGTTTAATCTAAGGCTTAACTACTTATGGCAATGTTAGTTGAAATTAGAAGGCATGGTTATGATAAATATTGCAGAATCAATCTAAATTTAAAACTTAAAGTTTTTTTCTTAATTTTTTATGTGTTCTAAAATTTTACTAGGAAGAAAGATCACGGAAATCTCAGTTATCTTCAACAAAATCTAAAAAGGAAGTAAAGGTGTGGATTGGAATGACTGTTGAGGATCTGGCCAGAGCAATGGAAAAAGACATAGGTGAGGTAGATGATTTTTCTAAGGAAAAATGTGGGAACAAAGAATACCTGGCTTTTTATTTACAATGAGTCTAAGGCATTCAAGGGTGAAAATCAGCCTGACAGCTTCAAAAGGTGTTCCATTATGGTTCACTTGAGAACACAAACCCTGATTAGTTTTGTGCCTCTTTGCCAAATATATTTTCAAATATTTTATTAATGAAAGAAAAGATTTCATCTGAGCTAATCTTTTTTTCTCAGATATATGGGTTATTAGAATAAATCCAAAGAGTACTTTTCAACTGAGTCATATTTATACTCATTTCTTTTGCCTTTTTTTTTTTTTAAGATTTATTTATTTGTACATACAAAACTGGGGTACAGGCTAGAGGTACAGGGACGGTGAGAGGATTCACCAGAGACAGAGTGGGGAGCAGAACAGGTAGATCGACGAAGTACACTGCCCAGGGGAGCAGCGGGCAGGTCAGGAGACGTCTGCCATGCCATGTGGGTCACCTCCAGGGCTGGGGATTGAACTCATGTGGAAGTGGCTTTCGATTCTTAGTGCTGCTCTTTAACCTGCTGCGCCACCAGGAAGAGCCCATACTTTGCCTTTGTTTTTTAAAGACTTATTATTTATGCATACAAGAACTGGGGTATAGGCCAGAGATGGGGCGGGGGTGAGTAGATTCACCAGAGACAAAGTGGTGAGCAAAGCAGGCAGAAACATACTGCTTAGGGGAGCAGCAGGAAGGACAGAAGAGGTCTGCTGTGCCATGTGGGTCATCTCCCTGGCTGCAAAATCACTTGTGCCATAGTGGCTGCCAATAGGTTCATAGTACTGAGACTTAACCCCTTGCACCAATCCCATATTTTGCCTTTGTTTTTCTATAATACTGATTTCTTTTTTCACTCATTTTGACAGTATCTGTAGTGCCAGCAGAAAAATATTTATAGTAATAACTAGAACTTTTAATGATAGTATTAATATTTATAAATACATTGCATAATTGTCTTTTATTTCTCTACTGTACTGTTACATTTTTTGACAGTTTAGGATTGTTGGAGCAAAATTTAAATTCTCAATATAAATTGATATTAAACTTTAGTAAGTAAAAATTAAGCTATTGTAGCAAAATAAAGTGACAAATGAAGCAGATTTGGAAAAAGAACTAATATTAACTCAGTTTGTTAAGATATTACTGTTATATGTAGATGTATGATTACATATAGATCTATTATAATAGTAGATGTTCCTATTATTATGGAATAATACTTAATAGTCCTCTCTTAACATCCTCCTAGGTTTTAGAAACTGTGACTTTAAGGAAAGCGAAGTATAATGGAACTAGGTCCTTGATAAGGTCATAGCTTGAATATCAGCTGGGATTATTTTTTTCTTATTAATCTATGATGTTAATGAGGACCTATATTAATTCATAAAATGCTCTCATTGCAGTAGAGGTAGGTATGATAATTTCTTTCACCTTAGGTTGAGAAGATAAAGCATAAAAAAAATGAGTAATTGCCCTTGATTTCATAGCTAGTATAGAACCCAGGATTTGAACTCAATGAATATGACTTTAGAGTACATGCACTTACCCATAGACTTTTTAAGAATTGTTATTTTCTGAATTATAACAGAACCTAAATTTTAATGTGTTTCCTACCTAAAAATACTGCCATTGTTTGTATATGTATATCCTCACAGGAAATAAAAAATTAGTACAATGTTTTGTGTTTTAATAACTTTACAGTTGGAGTTATGTGATTATATGGGCATGTAATTTAGAACTTCCCAAGGAAGACTTGATACACAGCTGTTACAAATAAGATAATACAGTTGACTTCAAAAAATTTATTATTTGCAATTTCTATGAAAACAGGAAAAATGGAATAATATGGATGTATACATTAACCAGTGAAAATATCGCTGAAATTTATAAATATATCTGTATCTCTGAAAGATAAGGATTCGTTTTTTAACTACCCCTACACACACTCATAGCCATAATAACTTCCAAATAATTATTATAATTGAAATATAAATTTAATCACTCAGATAGTGCTCTCAACCTGAAACTGATTTGCTGTTATTTAAATACAAGTTACCTAGTTGAAGCTTGTATAATATCATACCTCTTCCGAATTAACAATAATTTTTATATGGTAATATAATTTTTACTACTTGGTTAGCAATGTGAATATCTTTTTTCCCCTTCTTCTGAGTTAATTAAAATAATTTGACATAATATTTCTGGTTGAAACGTTCTGAGCACTTTTTTACATGTAAATATTTGTCATGGAAAAAGAATAATTTATGTGCAGTTAATACAGAAGAAAAAAGATTATCCCTATGTATTAGCTACCTCTCAGAAGTTTAGGATAACATTTAAAAACTATAGTTATGGATTATTAGGAATTTTTAGCATTGTTAGAGACAGAATTTAACTCATTTTAACTTTTATGTGTTTCAGAGTGTTTTATATTTTAAGAGGGTGTGTGTGTATAAAATTTGCATTTTCTCATTAATATGTTTGTTATGTAACTGGTTATTGAATGTAATCATTGACAAAATCACAATGGTAATACAGATTAAAACTCTCCTATGATTCTACTGTGTGTAAATAAAAAGTAATTATGTATGTCTATGAGATTAGTTATACCAATTATATCTATGCCCATTCAATGACTTCTTGTTGGTTGCTTAAAATCTGCTATGATGGGAATATTTTCACCATGGAAGTTGACTAGCCATATATAAATCAGATTTTGGGGGTAGGGATGGGGGAGGAGAGGTGGAGAGAGTTGTGAGTAAACAATTATCAGCATACTACTGAATAAGATTTTTTTTACTGTCTGCTAACTTGATGATCCTTTTCAGTTGTATGTTTCTTGAAATATAAATTATAGGATAGTTGAAAATCTGGGAACAAAATTACTATCTCATTGTCACAAATATATTTACTATTCACAAGGAAAAATGACTGGAATGAAAACAGCACGTTAAATAAAATGAAAAGAATTGCACATAAATATTTTTCTTGTGTTTCAAGACTTTTGGATACTTCAGTAGAGAAACACATAAATTAATTGTGTTTGCATGTATTCTGACATATTCTGTGTGTGTGTGTGTGTGTTTGTGTGTGTGTGTGCGTCTATACAGTAGTCCTCATTATTTGGAGGTTCTGTATTGGTAAGTTCACATATTCTCTGAAATGTATTATAGTCTCCAAACCAATAGCAGTGCTTTCATACAGTCATCCTGGATATCAGAAAGTTGTGAAAAATTTTAATTGCATATATTCTTAACTAAGGTTGAACAAAGCAACACTTGTCCTTTATAGTTTTGGTTTATTAAGTGCCATGTTTTTTTGTTTTTCATCTTTGTGGGTTTTTTTTGTTGTTGCTGTTGTTGTTTAAACAACAAAGACATTTAAAAATGCTTTTGCTATTCAAAATGACTCCTTCACATAGCTACTTAGTATTACCAGCTGCTAAAAGGATTTAATGTGCCTTCCAGAGAAAGTACATGTTAGATGAGCTTTATTCAGGCACTAGTTATACTGCTGTTGGCCATGAATTCAAGTTAGTGAATCAATGCATATTAAATAAGGTTTTTAAAAACAAGTACATAAAATAAGGTATAAATTGATCAACTGATAAAATGTGGCCAAAGGAACTTACTTTGCATTTTCCCTCAGAACAGTCATTCAGTATTTGCTAATCCAGTATTCTGAATGAATTTATAGAACACTACTATAGCAGATAGTGAGAATTGACAGTATATACACATGATTTGAATGTACATGACCTGTAACTACAAGTTTTCAAAGAACTATCGTAGAATAAGCTACTTAATATTATGTACAATATACAGTGTAGTGTTTTATTGATGTTTCAGAAGCTAAATAAGTATGTCTGAATGTGCAGACATGTCAGTTGATATAAATGATCATATTTTAAAGGTTATTTTGTGAATAGAGTTTTGTCTCTAATACACTGCTTATATAGACTTTTACTAATAGAGGTCACTTAAACAGTTCATGGCCCTAAAATGTTTTATCTTATCCTAACCAGATTATGTGTACGAAGCTTTAATGAATACTAAAGTTGACATAGACTCACTAGAAGCAGACTCACATTTAGATGAAGTCTGGATCAAAGAAATAATAAAGAAGGCAGGGATGAAGTTAATATGGAGCAGATTAAAAGAAGACAAAGTCAGAGAAAATAAAGATGCTGTAAGAAGGTAAAGCTTAATCATATATATTGGGGGTGGGAGACCACCTAATTTTGTTCACACATTTATTTATTTTTAAATACTTATGCATACAGAACTGGGGTACAGGCCAGAGTACAGCGGCGGTAAGTGGATTCACCAGAAACTGGGGATTAGAACAGGCAGATCAATAAGTACACTGCTGAGGGGAGCAGCGGGCAGGTCAGTAGAGGTCAGTAGGTGATCCATCACTTCCGGGTGTAGGGACTGAACTCACTGAAGCGGGCTGCAGCTGCAAGCATCCTAACTGGTTGCGCCACCAGGCAGGGCCTAATTATTTATTTTAAAAATATACATACAGAACTGGGGTACAGGTCAGAGGTGCAGGGGTGGTGAGAGCATTCACCAGAGTGGGGAAGTACATGCTGATGGGTGCAACGGGTGAGACAGGAGAGGATGGTTGCACCATGTGGGTCATCTCCCTGCCAGCCAGCTGGGGATTTGAACTCCAGCTGAAGCTGCTGCAGCTGTGGCTAGCTTCACAGTGCTGTGCTTTAACCCATTGCGCCACAAGGGAAGGCCCTGTACACACATTTTATTTTATTTATTTAATTTTTAAAAATACTTAACTTCTGGCCCTCCCTGGTGGCGCAGCGGGTTAAAGCACAGCACTGAGAATCTGAAGCCACTTCCGCATGAGTTCGATTCCCGCCTGCCCCGGAGGTGACCACATGGCGCGGCAGACCTCTCCTGACCCGCCCGCTGCTTCCCTCAGCAGTGTACTTCGTAGATCTGCCTGTTCTGCTCCCCACTCTGTCTCTGAAGCCTCTCACTGCCCCTGAGCCTCTGGCCTGTACCCCAGTTCTGTATGGACAAATAAATAAATAAATTAAAAAAAAAATTAAAAAAAAAAAAAAAAAATACTTAACTTCTGAATACAGAACTGGGGTACAGGCCAGAGATGGAGGGGCAGTGAAAGGATTCACCAGAGACAGAGTGGGGAGCAGAACAGGCAGATAAATGAAGTACACTGCTGAGGGGAGCAGCCTGCTGCACCATATGGATCAGCTCTGGGGCCTGAGATGGAACTCACACTGAAGCAGCCAGCTTGCAGTGCTGCATCCTAACCCATTGTGCCACCAAGGAGGATCCTATTCATACATTTTAAAGGAAAGATTGCCTTAAAATTTCTTTTGCAATGTAACTGTTACTGTGAACATGGGTTAAATCTTCAGTATGCTTAAAGGATCAGAAAGAATATTCAGGTAATTATAAAAGTCTTAGCAGTTTGAGAAGTGTGTATATTGATCCTGAAATTCTAAAATTTGGTTCAGTTCTGCTTATGAGAGATGAATTATAGATGACAGGCTTGAATATTTTGTCATGTCATTGTGCATTTGGAAGGGGAAATAGTTGTCTAATCAAAGCTGAATGTTGGGTTTTATTGTTAATGGCAGCTCACAGTGACAACTGCCCATCATTCTATGGGTATGAAGTGTTTCTGATATTTAAGATACAAAACTCCTTTGCTATTAAATTGTAGGCCCCAGGCAGATCCAGCTTTGTTAACCCCAAGGTCCCCTGTTGTTACTATTATGGGGCATGTTGATCATGGGAAAACGACATTACTTGACAAACTGCGAAAAACTCAAGTGGCAGCAACGGAAGCTGGAGGCATCACGCAACACATTGGTGCCTTTCTGGGTATGAACACAAATTATCTTACAGTGTACTTGGGAATTCTTCATTTTTTTTTTAAGTATTAAGTTCTAAATGCTCAAATTCAAAGTTAAATGGAAGGTGAAAAGCTTCAAGTATTTTGTGTTATTTCTGTTGCCTAATCTCTTTGGTTTGATGAAATGTAGAGCAGATAGATGGGCATAAAGGTTATTGTACATTCTATAAGAAGAAATTATAGAAAGAAGAAATTATATTGCCTTGCTTATTCTAGTCCATTCTTGGTTTGGTTTAATGACCTAAAATTCTCCAATGCTAGGCTGTAAGTAATGTTGCTAATAAATAAAATAATTATTTACTGAGCACCAGTGTGGCCAGCACTGTTCCAAGCACCTTACCTTGTTTTTATCTTCACAACACCTTTATAAAGTAGATATTGTTACTTTTTTTTTTTATAGATGAGGAGTTTGAGGCTTGATTAGGTAGATTAACTTGCTCAAGATACACTTAACATCTAGTAAGTGATAAAGCTAGGATTTGAACCCAACACTGTGGAACTTAATTCTCAGCTGCTAACTGTAAACTGAATTGCCTTTGTTGGTTAAAGCAGTTGTGCAGCTGATGTTTACTAATGTGGCTGCGTTTACAGTTATCTGTGTGTTCTCTCTCCAAAATAGATATCATTTGGTATATGTGAATATAGTTATATCCTACAAATGTGAAAAATTTTAATTTGTAAATTTTATTTGTAAGTAAAACCCGACAGTTGCAACTGTTATGTTAACCACTTTTCATGGTGAAATGATGTTTATTGTTCTGATTAAAGTTAATGGAAGTAATAAATTATTTTTTAAAAAAAGATTTATTTATGCTTACAAAAACTGGGATATAGGTCAGATATGTGAGGGAGTGACAGGATTCATCAGAGACAGTGGGGAGCAGAACAGGTATTGACAAAATATACTGCAGAGGGGAGCAGTAGGCAAGACTGGAGAGGTCTGTTGTGCCATGTGGGTCAGCTCCCTGGCCAGGGATCGAATTGTGCTTCAGTGGCTGTGATAGCTTCATAGTGCTGAAACTTAACCCCTTGCTCTACCAGGGGGGCCCCAGAAGTGATGATAAAATTACTTTAGAAAATTTGATAATGTTGCATATATTTCCTCATATTATGGAAGGCCATAAATGGAAGTACATGTTTGAATATTTTGTGTTCTTGGATTTCTGTTTCCACAGTTTCTCTGCCTTCTGGGGAAAAAATAACCTTTCTTGATACTCCAGGACATGCTGCATTCTCAGCAATGAGAGCCAGAGGTGCCCAAGTCACTGACATTGTCATATTGGTTGTAGCTGCAGATGATGGTGTAATGAAACAAACTGTAGAATCTATTCAGCATGCCAGAGATGCTCAAGGTACTGTGTAGCTGACTTACATGGACTAGGAAGGAAGTAACTATATTTTTTAAAGGTTTATGCATGCAAGAACTGGGGTACAGGCCAGAGGTGCAGGAGGTGAGAGGACTCACCAGTGGGGAGAAGAACAGTAAGATTGAAACACACTGCTGAGGGGAGCAGCAGATGAGACAGGATAGGTCTGCCACGCTATGAAGATCAGCTCCCTGTCCAGGAGGGGATTAAACTGTGCTTCCGTGGCTGCCCAGTGCTACAGAGAGTTTTAGAAGGCTGCACTTTAATAACCCTTGCACTACCAGAGAGGGCCCCCAATTTTTAAGGATCTATGTATGTGTAGCTCCTAGCAGTCCCAGAGTATTTTACAGATAAGACTCGAAGATATCAGGATTGTTATCCTACAAATGTAACTTTTACAAAGAGTCTCAACTTGAGACTTTTGACCACATGGACAGTCCACAAGTACAGGTACCTTCTTCTACTATTTACACATAGCGTGAGAGTTTATTACTTATTTTTAAAGATTTATTTATTTATGCATATAAGATCTGGGGTGTAGGCTAGAGGTGTGGGGCTGAGAGGATTCACCAGAGACAGATGGAGGAGAAAAACCAGTGGATTGACTGAAATACACTGCTGAGGGGAGCAGTGGGTAAGACAGGAGAGGTCTGCTGTGCCGTGTGGGTCAGCTACCTGGTCGGGGATCAAGCTTGTGCTGCTGTAGCTGTGGCTAGCTCCATAGTGCTGAGGCTTAACCTCCTGTGCCACCAGGGAGGCCAGGGTGTGAGAATTTAAGTCTCAAATTACTTTTTTAAAACTTTTTAGCATGGAAAATTTAAATAGATATAAAAGTAAGAATAGAATAATAAACCCCTTCAAACTTACAACCTAAATTCATTAGAAGTTGCAGAGTAGTATTCTAATTTTGTTGTTCTTTGTACATTTATTATCTGGAATTTTTCTGTAAAAAGAAACTTTCCCTCCATTTCCTTTCAATAAGTTCTTGCTTGGTTGAAGGTATAAAACTAAACTTTTGAAAAAGTCACTTGGCTATTTTTCCATTTAAAATTTGTAATAATTGGGGTCTCCCTCATGGCCTAAGGATTGTCACTGCTACTGTTTGAGTTTGATACCTGACCAAGGAGCCGACCCACATATGGTGCAGCAGACCTCTCTTGTCTCACCTACTATTCCCCTTAGCAGTATATTTCAGTCAGTCTGCCTATCCTGCTACCCATTTTCTTTCTAGTGCATCCTCTCACCTCCTGCATCTCTGGCCGATATTTCACTGCTTCTATACAAACAAATCACACCACATATACATTCTCTACATTTATTCTTACTATTATGATTCTATATCAACTGAGAAAATACTGTTGCCTTGAAAAAATGTACCTCTGTTGAGTATATCATATTCCCCTTTGTTTACCAGAAAAAAAAAAAACGTTGAACATCATTTATCTGGTCCAGTTCTTTTATGTCATAACATGAAAACTACCACCCAGGCTGTAGAGAACACCCCCCTACAAGGATACATTTGCAACACGCCCACATTTGGAATCTGTTTTTTTTTTTTTAAAGATTTATTTATTTATGTATACAGAACTGGGGTACAGGCCAGAGGTGCAGGGGCAATGAAAGGCATCACCAGAGACAGAACAGGGAGCAGAGCAGGCAGATCAACGAAGTACACTGCTGAGGGGAGCAGCCGGTGGGTCAGGAGGGGTCTGCCGTGCCATGTGGATCACCTCCGGGGCAGGCAGGGATCGAACTCATGCTGAAGTGGCTTTAGCTTCTTAGTGCTGTGCTTTAACCCACTGCACCACAAGGGAGGGCTGGGAATCTGATTTTTTTAGTTTCCAGTGTTACCTTCCTTTTGTATTCTTTTATCTATTTTTTGAAAAAGGGACTATGTTCTAATGATTCTAGGGATTAAAATACAGACAAAAAAAAATGTGAGGGATAAATCCCTTGCGTTATGCTTTCTGTAGCTGTACTCTTGGTTCCTGTTAAATTCCAGCTCATTTATAATAATCAGTTGTGGATTGCATAGCTTTTTTATTTGTTTTTATTTTCAATTTCTATTCCATTAATAAATGAGAAAATTGCAGAATTGGTGAAACCTAACCAGAGAATTATCTCTTTGAATTTTGTGATTTCTCTAATGAGTGGGTGCATATTTAGTAATAACCAGTAAAATAACAGATTAATTGGTTCATTGTGTAAACATTCATTGAGAATCTAGTATGTGTCAATCACTAAATATATGAAGAAAGAGTTTCTAATTTTTTTTAAGATTTATTTATTTATAAATCACAATATGAAAAACAAGAACTGGGGTACAGGCCAGAGGTACAGGGGTGAGAGGATTCACCAAAGACAGACGGAGCAACAGAACAGGCAGATCTGTTGAAATACGCTGCTAAGGAGAGCAGCAATCAAGGCAGTAGAGGTCTGCTGTACCATGTGAGTCAGCTTCCTGACCCAGAATCAAACACATGATACAGTGGCTGCCAGTAGTCTCAAAGAGTGCTGTGCTTCACCCTTTGTGCCACCAGGGAGGCCCTCCTATTTGTTTGTTTTTTTTAGATTTACTTACTTATGCATATAAGAAAATTTACAATAATGATACTTAGTTTCGCCCCAGGGTGACATACTGGGTTTTCAAAAAGTGCATCTGCAAAAAAAGGCAAATAATCTAGTGGTATTAGATTCTTCGCTTGTTTTTTGTCTGGAGATTATCTCTAATGTAGTTGCTAATCTTGCTTTCAGCTTTAGGGTTAGATGTCCTGCTACCCAAAATACTATTTCATCTTAACTGTATATTTTTAATTTATAATCAGCTTATACAAAAAAAAAAACACAAAAAAAACTTGGGAGATCTGACTTCTGGAATCCTTTTTTAGAGAGCAGAATTGGGTGGGCTTAAAATGGTTTTATTGGGCCTTTTGTTTAGTAAGTAAATATGCTGAATAAAGAGAAAGCCAGAAAATCTTCGTAACTTCACTGTGAAATTAAAGGTGGCATGTTCTACACTCTTGTTAACTCTCTTTTTTAGTTCCTGTTGTCCTTGCCATAAATAAATGTGACAAAGCTGAGGCTGATCCTGAAAAAGTGAAAAAAGAACTGCTAGCTTATGATGTGGTTTGCGAGGACTGTGGTGGTGATGTCCAGGCAGTGCCTGTCTCTGCGCTCACGGTAAATTCAGGCTCTTAAGAGATGAGTGTGTTCGGATGTAAATGCTGTTTTGACCTACATAATTTCTGTTTTGTAGTACTCTGAGTACTAGGTAGCACTGATACCATTATTCTGGCTTGGAAGATTAGAGATTAGGTACAGTCTTAAACCAAGGTTAAATAGCTGACTAGTGGTAATTGGGTCTAAACTTAAGGCTTACATTGGATAGTTAGAATGAAAGAGAATATGGTGAATGATATGTAGATAGGTCAACAGACTGCTTTAAGCAGAAGGGAAATTTAGTTTGAAGTAAAAAAGTCCTTATATTTCATGTCATTTATAGTGAAAAATTATAGAATATGTCTTAAGGCATTTGAGAGAGATTTAAACAAAAATTTCAGTAATACAAAGAGACATTTGGGTTCAGTTTGTCATTGACTCAGTGTTTCTGTAATTAAATTGCTGTAAGTTTTTATGATGTAAATTACCAATTTTTTTTCTGGTTAAAAAAGACAAAAGAAGCTCAGTAACAATTTCCTTTTTTTATCCATTCTTACCATATTCTATAGTTTTTTCATAATGCAGAAATGATGGTATTGTATTCGTTGCCTCCAATTAAGTCTCATTTTATCTTTTCTTAAATTTGTTATTTCCAAGATGCTTATAGATCACACAACTTTCCTTGAAAAGCCATGCCTCTTTTTTTGTGAAACTTGTAAAAGGCCCTCATAGCATTCTACTATACCTTGATTGCATGCTAAATGCAATATTAATATTAAATATTAAAACATTTGCAGAGGTGACCACCTTTTCTACTACTCAGATACAGTCAAATGAATAGTAAATAGGAAACTGTAGGTAAATTTGGAGGCATAGCAGAACATATAGGGACTTGGGAGAGAGTGGCAAGAGAAGTTGAAGCCTTCTATTTCATGCATCCTTCTATTTCATACAAAGAGAGAACCCCAACTCATTTCTGAGCAGGATTTTGTAACTTGGTATAAATACTAGGAATAAAAGAAGGGTCAGTGAAGTAGCAGTTTTGTTTACAGTGGTCTTTGTTATTGTAAACTGTGTAACAGATGTGAGCAGTCTCTCAGCTGACAGCAGAATGGAAAAATCCCTTGCCTATCATTTCTGTTTCTAACACCCATTAAACAGCTTTGTCATTGGAGCCCTAGGAAGCATATTAAAGATACCCTTATAGATGAAGGAATCATCTAGATTCTTCATTCTACAGTTGAGGATTGGAAATCCAGAGAAGTGAAGTAGCTATGCAAAATTGCTGGTTAGGTAGTTAGAATATGGCTTAGAGCCTACATATAATCAGTGCTTTTTCTCCTTTTTTATTTAGAGTAAGTGATGCTTAATTTACTTATTTTATAGGATTCTTGATTGGCTCAAATGAAATAATAGATGTGAAAGCTTTTTCAATGGCTTAGAGCCTCAGATGTAAAGTAGCATTGTAAAAAAAGGGACAGGAAGAAAACATAAATGTAGAGACTGATGCAAGGAAGGAGAATGAAGCATATGTTTGTCAAAGTGTATTAACAAGAACCACTAATAACAAACCTTTAAATAAAAAAGTAGCTTTTCTTCCTTGTAAAATCTGCCCTGGATTAAGTTTTCTCCCTCCTCCTTCTGCCCTTCTCTCTGAGAGAAAAGTATAATGTTACTTTCAAGGATTAATAGACTTTTTTATTCTTGTATTTATGTTTATAAATAAAATATTTATTAATTATATTTTTCTTGTTAAAGGGTGATAATCTGATGGCTTTGGCAGAGGCAATAATTGCTCTTGCAGAGATGTTAGAACTGAAAGCAGATCCCACTGGTCCAGTGGAAGGAACAGTAATAGAATCTTTCACAGATAAAGGAAGAGGGTAGGACTGTTAAAATATCTGCTTTTTAAAAATTCTGTTTTGTGGTTGTATGACTCGATATATAACAATATATTGTCTTGATTGTGTTTTTAAAAAGATTTATTTATTTATGCATATAAGAACTGGCCTAAAGGACAGAGGTATGGGGAGGGGGGAGAGGATTCACCAGAGACAGAGTGGGGAACAGAACAGGCAGATGGACTGAAATAAACTGCCGAGGGGAGCAGCAATCGGGATAGCAGAGGTCTGTTGCACCATGTGGGTCACCTACGTTGGCCAGGGATTGAGTATATTCTATAGTGGCTGCGGAGAGCTTCATAGCCCCTTGTGCCACCAGCAAGGCCCTTTTTCTTCTTTTTAAAGCTTACATAATACTCTTTTGTATGTGTAAGTTACACTATATTTTCTTTACTCATTCTTCCATTAATGGACATTTGGGTTGCTTTCAACTTTTGGCTAGTGTTAAAAAATGTTTTTATACTATGAAAAAATGTTTGAGGTGGTGAAAGTAGGCCTATGTATAGTTAAATCTCATAAGGATATTTTTGCTCTAAGATTATATTTTTCATTTTAGGCCTGTTACTACAGCTATAATTCAAAGAGGAACGCTGAGAAAAGGTTCCATTCTGGTTGCTGGAAAGAGTTGGGCAAAAGTACGATTAATGTTTGATGAAAATGGAAAAACAATCAATGAGGCCTATCCTAGCATGCCAGTAGGAATTGTAGGCTGGAAAGACCTCCCTTCTGCAGGAGATGAAATTCTTGAAGTAGAATCTGAGGTATGTCAAATTTAATTTCTATAGATACTGTGTTTCTTAAACTTATAAAATGAGTGGTTTTATACATAAATTAACTCAGTGGTAGGGAAAGACAAAGCTTTGAACCAAACAGGTATTGGTTTCTCTTTAGCTAATGGCCATTTTTTCCTATAAAGCCAAGGGCTCGTGAAGTTGTTGACTGGAGGAAGTATGAGCAAGAACAAGAGAAAAATAAAGAGGATCTGAAAAGAATAGAAGAAAAGCGAAAGGAACATCAAGATGCCCATAGGAAGGCCCGTGAGAAGTATGGCACTTTGCACTGGAAGGAGAGGTCATTTATGAAGTACCAAGAAAAAAAAGAACAAAAACCCTTAAAGCCAAAAGAGAAAGCAGAAAGAGATTTAAATGTACTTCCTATAATAATTAAAGGTGATTTTGAAAAGATTTTACAACTCAATTTTGGCATATATATATATTTTATTCTCACAATGAATTTGGGCCAAAACTATTTGAGTATTTTGAGGGAATTTGGTGGTAAACATTTTTCTTGCTAATTTTGTTGTAACTATTATACTTGATTTATAATGCTTTAATAGATATTTAGAATGCCTAGCTAAGTAAAAGTGGTTTTTGTGGAAAATGCCCTTCTTACTGTGGCTTTAAGTAGATTATTGTCATCTTTGTGTTTGTTAATGCCTAATTCTTAGCACCTGTAATTTAAACTTTTTACATTTAGGTGACGTTGATGGTTCTGTTGAGGCCATTTTGGACATTATGGATACCTATGATGCAGCACATGAGTGTGAACTAGAATTAGTACATTTTGGTGTGGGTGATATTAGTGAAAATGATGTTAACCTTGCTGAAACTTTTCACGGTAAGGATTGCATTTCCCATCTTTTTAAACTGTATTTCCTAGAACACACTGTGAACCATATGCTTCTTTCTTTTATTACTTGGCTGGTCACATCTGACATATACCCTATCAGCATCACCCTTCCTGTTGCAGTCAAGTTCCAGCTAGCAGCTGAGGCCGAATGGTATGTGCAAAGTTGCAGCCGTACTTTCAATTTTCCTTGTTGTATTGCAACCTTAGGGAGCTGTTGCAAGCCCCAGTAGTGTTACTTTCTTCTTGAAGGTGACATTGTTTCCTCCTCACTACCTCCTTCTATTTCCTCACCCACTCCCAAGTTAGTAATTTTCTCTTTCATATAAATTTTTGAAAGTTTCTAGTACATAACCAGAGTGCTTAGTATCCATTCATCTTTTACTTTTGGTTGTCTATTCTTGATCAGAAGCTTCATTTAGCCTTAAATGCACTTATGATATACAAAAAGGGGACTCATTATTGTCACTTTAACTAATGATTCATTTAGGAAGGAGGTACCTCATGACCTGACTTATTTAGAATTGAACTGAAAAGATATTTTCAATAATGTTGGTTAGTTTAAGGTACTGTTGACAATGAAGTCAATAGTCATAGTCCAGGACTATGCTGTGTAATGCATAGTGTATCGAGTAATTTCTTAGCATGAGATAGTTGTGTTTTCTCATTTTAGCTGTTTGCATTATTTTGTTAAAGGCAAGAATGTTTTGCTTTATTTCATTCTAGGATACATGACAAAGAAGATAGAATTTCTCATCTTCCGTATTTGCTGTAAATTTATATAAAAGAAAATTAAATAATTTAGATTTGAGTTTCTGCTTGAAAACATATTATTTAATGGAATATTTGTGCTACTTTCATTGATTCCATTTTTGTTTGCCAGGTGTTGTATATGGCTTCAATGTGAATGCAGGCAATGTTATCCAGCAGTCAGCTGCAAAAAAAGGAGTAAAAATTAAACTTCACAAAATCATTTACCGCCTTATTGAAGATTTGCAAGAAGAACTGAGCAGCAGATTGCCCTGCGCTGTGGAGGAGCACCCAGTAGGTGGGTTTTCACTGAATGTTACACAAAACCATTAACATCTTAGGTGCTGTAAACAATATTTGAAAGCAAGTTTAGGAGATGTATTTCACTTCGAAATACATTCATTACTCTAATATATATCCTGTATTTTAGGAAAAATGAGTTATAGAAAAGACTTAAGTGTACTTCGTATGTATTATAATCACCTGCCCTTTCTAACACTTTGTGGTAAGGGCCTGAGGATACAAAAGCAAGTAAGACAAGATTATACATATAAACAAGTGATTCTGATACAAAGAGTGGGATGGAAGTCATAAAATTCTTAAAAATGTCATGGAAAAAGTCACTGATTTTTGTCTGAGCTAGCAAAGAAATCCACCATGAAAAGAAAATTCACTTAACATTTAAATATTAATAAAAAAAATACTCCTTTATATCCATTGTTCAAATTGAAGGCTAAATTAGTTATAATGGGCTAAGTCACTTTATTTGTTCTTTTATCTTCCCACATGCAGATGCTAACTTTTTATTTTGATCATTTTAAATGTCCAGAAAAATTACAAGAAACGTTTGGGGAACTGCCTCCTATTTAAATTCCCTATGCCCAGTCCCATCATTCACTTTTTGTCCCTTTTATCTTTATCCCCTGCCAACCATACAACACAATTTTTTTTGGATTATTAAATTTGAGATATTGTGTCCACTTCCTAGTAAATGCAAACCATAGAACAAATACAACTCAGAAGTTTTAACATTAATACAGTGCTATTCTATTCACCCCAGTCCATATTCTTTTTTTTTTTTAAGATTTATTTATTTATGCATACAAGAGCTGGAGTGTAGGCTAGTGGTATAGGGGGGTGGGTGAGAAGTTCTCTAGAGACAAGAGTGGGAAATACAACAGGCAGATTGACTGAAATACACTGCTGAGGAGAGCACTGGGCAAGCCAGGAGAAGTCTGCTGTGCCATGTTGTTTAGCTCCCTGATGAGGGATTGAACTCAAGCTGCAGTGGCTACAGATAGCTTCATAGTGCTAACTTAACCCCTTTGCCACTAGAGAGACCCTTTATATTCAAATTTTAGCCTTAGTTTCCCAATAATGCATTTCATTGTTATGTACCTTAATTCAGGATTGTTAAGTTACAATTAGTTCTTCAGTTCTTGTCTTGACTTTGACATTTTTTAAGTGTATAGGCTGGTGAATCGTAGAATCTACTTTAATTTGGATTTATTTTACAGTGAATTTTTGGCCCACTTACAGATTTACTTTACTTTTCTGACTGGCTGAATATGATTTTACAGAGATTTTTATGTTCTTATTCTAAGAGCCATTTGGAAACCTGGAAGTCACATGGATTTCTAGGACTTGCAAAAATAAAAAAACACTAGCCCTAGGAAAACTGGTACATTAGTGTATGATACCATTTTATTATTGGAATTAAATTTTCAGTGAAAAAATGAAACTGAGTCACAGAATTTGTACTTTTAAGTGGAAATCACCACTGGTGATACTAAAAATAAATCAGGTAACAACAGATGATCTTCAAGAAAATATCTTGAGGGACAACCGAAAACTAGATTTTTTATGAGGCAGACAGTGATTGTCAGTCTTACCAACTGTTAGCATCTTCTGGGGCCCTTTATTCCACCAAAAATTTAGTTGCATTTTTCTAGTGCTCATTCCTTTGGTAGACATGTTCCTTTGCAGTGACTGTTTTGTTCTTTAAGAATACCCAAAAGATTTATACATTAAATTTTAGCATTATTCAGTAAAACTAAGTTGGCAGAATCAAAGAAAAATAGGGTTTGTTTGTATGAGTTTATAATTTTCTAAAATCTTAAATTTTCTTCCTGTAGAATGTAATTGTGTATCTAAGATTATTTTCTGTTATACTTAAATGTTCTCTTCTCTCTAAAGGTGAGGCCTCTGTACTAGCTACATTCTTTGTAACAGAAGGAAAGAAAAAAGTTCCTGTGGCTGGCTGCAGAGTCCATAAGGGACAGTTAGAAAAACAAAAAAAATTTAAATTAATTCGTAATGGAGATGTAATTTGGAAGGGTAAGCAATTATCAGTCTACTTGTTATCATCACCAAAACTTAGTGATATTGTGTAGCTATTTGAAATCTCATACACTATTTCCCAGGCCATCCTTTAAAAAAAAAATTATTTTGCATGTTAAGAATTGGAATACAGGCCAGAGGTATAGATGGTAAGAGGATTCACCAGAGACAGAGTGAGGAGCATTAACAGGAAGATCTGCTGAGGGGAGCAGCGGGTAGGGTAGGACAGTAGCCGTCTGCTGTACCATGTGGCTCACCTCCCCAGTTTGGGATCAAATTCATACTTCAGTGGCTGTTAATAGCTGCATAGCCCTGTGCTTTTAACCCCTTGCGCCACCAGTGAGGCCCCTTTTTGAAGATTTATGCATGCATGCAAGAGCTGGGTGTACTTCACAGTTGCTGGGAAGGTGTGAGGGGTGGTGGGGGGGTGGGGACTCACTGAAGACAAGAGTGGAGAACAGAATAGGCAGGTTGACTGAAATAACACTGCCAGGAAGTGACACAGGAGCAACTTGGTCAGGGATCAAACGGGATCAGTAGCTGCTGATAGTTTCATAGCTCTGTGACTTACTCCCTCATGCTGCCAAGGGCTTAATACTACCCAGACTATATAAAATCTTCAAAGTTTTAATGTAATTTGTAAAATCAGCACTTTGTAGCGCAATCACTTGTTGAATGTGAATCTTTTTTTTTTTTTTTAAAGGTTTGTTAACCTCTCTGAAACACCATAAAGATGATGTTTCAGTCATCAAAACTGGAATGGACTGTGGTGTCAGTTTGGATGAAGAAAAGATAGAATTTAAAATAGGAGATGAAATTGTGTGTTATGAAGAAAAGGAAGTTCCAACCAAGACATCTTGGGATCCAGGATTTTAAAATTGTATAGCTAAATATTTTGTTCTGTTGAAGATATTAATTCACCAGTACTGGTCATAGTGGCCATATATTCTGTCAAACAAAATGCTGTCGAAATTGTACTTTATGAAAACCTCCACTTAGAAATGGCAAGACAAGTGTTCGGTAGAGAATTGTCATTGGTGATATTAGTGAATGTAATATTTTAATAAACATCAATTGTGTGCTTTAAAGAGTGTTATCAAGAGCAGCAATCCTCTGCATTGAGCTCAAGGCAAAATATGGTAAATATTGCTTAAACACATGCTTTCCCACGTACTACTAACACAAATAGCTTGAAATTACCTTGGGTTAGACATTCCACCCAAATCACTGAAGGACACAGAATTGCTCTTAAATTACCTATTTAAGCTCTCTTTAAAATCTCGTGTATGAAATAAATTATGTCTTGACATTTTTTTAGGCAGTTACCAACACTAGTTCACATGTCATGATTTCCCCGGAGTGGTTATCCTCAGATCTTGACACTGGATACACTTTTGGTTGTGGTAACAGAAGTAGGGGTGATGTTACTACTGGCATTCAGTGTGTCAGCCAGGGATTACTATCTTCCTATGAGGCACAGGATAGTTACATGGCTCACAATTTTAATGATGCTGAAGTCAGTTATTCTAGATAATAGGCAAGTTTGTGCCTATTATCTAGAGTAACTGATATGAGGTCATCAGTTGGATGCTTAAATACTACTTTTCAATTAACAGAATAAAACTCAGCAATTAAATGTCAATGTCTTTTATTATGTACCCATACACAATTATTTGTCTTCCGGTTTGTTGAAACAATAGGTCAGACAACATTTGCCACAATAATGTCTGTCAAAGTGGCTGGCCATAAAAACTCCAGCACCACATTCATCGGATGGGCACTCCCGACGAAGGCGGCTGATTTTGCCATTCTCATCCACCTAAAAAAGTACAAACCCACTGTTAAGATAATTCTACAAGATATTCTAAACACTCAGTGACCAAAATTAACTCTTCAAACTATACAATACTGGTAGCTTTTAGTACTTGTAAGCCGAGGCATTCTAAAACCTCACAATCTTCGGTTGTAATTACAACAACAAAAATTCAGTCTTAGGACCTTTTATTCATTGAAAGTTTAACCTTATAAATAACTAGAAACCTGCATTCCCAGGTTTACAGCCGCACTATTTACGATAGCCAAGATGTGGGAACGACACAAATGTCCCAAAATACTCATGGACCAAAAAGCTGTAGCATATTTACACAATGGAATATTACTTGATTATCAAATAAAAGAAACTCATACTACTTATGGCAACATAGATGGAGCTGGAAGGGTAATTATGTTAGCCCAAATAAAAACTAAATATCGAATAGGTCTGTTATCTGGAATATAGAGAAATCAAACAAAAAGCCAAAAACTAGCAAGCTGACCACAAACCTGAGGCATATAGCAGGATAAAGGGGGTCAAAACAGGGGAGGGGAGAACACAAGGGAATATGGTGATAGTTCATGTATACTATGGTGGTAGAACCATGGGGACAACAATTTAAGAAAAAAAAAAAACTATATCCCAAGAAATAAACCCACAAAATCAGAGCTTTAGTTGGAGACAACGAGTAAAAAAACTTTCAAAATACCAAACAGGAAAAACACCCAACATTCATACTCAAGTACATCTTGAAACTTGTTCTTCAATCAAAAAAAACAAAAAGTATCACCACAGAGGGAATAGAAATGGATAAAAAGGGTCAAGTGAATTTATCACACAGATGTCAAATTATCATGTACACATGAGACCATGTTATAAACTATGGTCACACACACAAAAAATATCAAGAATAATTCATTTAAGCCAGTAAATAGCAGACAATTACGTCAATTTATTGCAAAAGAAAAGTCGACAAGTCACCTTAAAGACTATGATTAAGTTTTCATATAATAGTTATTCTCCTGATTTAAACTAGCTCACCTTGTAGTATTTCAGGACAGCCAGCTTAACCTTCTTTCTCTTATGCTTATTTTTCTTGGGAGTGGTGTAAGACTTCTTCTTTCTTTTCTTAGCACCACCACGCAGTCTCAGGACAAGATGGAGAGTGGACTCCTATTAATGAAAGGGCAAAACAGACTCTTGAAGTCATTTGACCAACACTGGTACTACATCAAGAATAGACAACCAGCATCAGGCAATAGAAAGTACACAGTACAGTAGACAGTACCACAGATAAGATGGAGGGGGAGAGAATGTAACTAGCTGATCTTTACTATATTATTGGAGATTAAGTTACATCATGAGGATGGTTTCTGCACAATTCAGAATAAGAAACCAGAGCAATGTCCTCAAATGCTAGCATAGAAGTCACCTAGACATCTATTTATTCTAACTTTTGTGCATTACTTAAAATTTCCTAGGTAAGATTGTATTTGAAGGGTGCTTCTTTCTTTTCCACAGACCTTCTGAATGTTGTAGTCAGACAAAGTTCGTCCATCTTCCAGTTGTTTTCCAGCAAAGATTAGTCTTTGCTGATCAGGAGGAATACCTGATAGAGAGGTAAAAGAAAAACCCTTAAGTCACAACAGAACAAACATATCTACTCAAATAATCTTAAGCCACAACTATAACTGAGCTTTTACTACACACTAGGCATGGTACAATTTCACACTTTTTACCTCACTTAACAAATATGTACTAATGATAATTATCTTGCAGAGTGAGCTGGTGTGGAGAATTAAGTAATTCATCCAAAACCACACGCATAAAATGGACTACAGCTTGGCTTGGTTCCACACTCATAACCTTTGTTTCTTCTGTCATTCCAAAAGCATTTCATTTTGTCAATCTGCCTTGCTCTTCCCCACCAGAGCAGGTAGATCTCGTGCCTACACTTAGTCTGGAGACCCCAGGACTTATTTTTCTTTCACATCTAGAAAATATCACTTGCCTTCCTTATCCTGGATCTTTGCTTTTACATTTTCGATCGTGTCCGAGGGTTCAACCTACGGGTTTTAAAATGCAAAAAAGGCCAATACAGTAAGAAACCAATACCCCACGGTTCATCTTGATGGTATTACAGCACCGAAAGCCCGCGAGAGCCGCTCGCTCAACGGTAGACAAACTCCGAGCGGCCCCCGCGAACACGAGTCCTCCCGGAGTCCCGCCGGCCGCCCCATGTGCGCTCCCTGCGGCGGGGAGCGCCCCTCCCGGGCCCACCCTAGCCTCTGCCAATCGAAAGCCGGCTTTCCGTCCCCGCTCAGCAGACTACCCCCAACTCAGCGCCAGGTTTCGGAACCCAGACGCGAGCACACAACCAAGGCACACTGCAGGCCACCCCGAGCCGCCTCCGGCCCTCAGGCCCGGGCCTCCCACGCTGCCGGGCCGCACCTCGAGGGTGATCGTCTTCCCCGTGAGGGTTTTCACGAAAATCTGCATCTTGGCGGCAGGTCCACCTGAAGGTGAAGGAAAGGAACACGCGGGTTAGCCTGGTGACAAGACAGGGCAGACGGCTAGGCCGCGACCCACAGAGAGGCACGGACGCACGCACTCACCACAGACGGCGGAGCGGAAAGGAAGAGCTCCAGGCGGCGCACGGGGTCTCCCGCCGGGGCTCCGCCCCTGAGGCGGCCGCGCCGGACGCCTGACGCGCCTCCGCGGCTGCCCAGCCACATGCCGGGCTTGGTGGTGAGTCTAGGGTCCCCCTAGCTCGGCCTTCGGAAAGCTCTCTAAAGATTAGATTCAGACAACTTAGCCCATTTTTAAAAGAGTTTCCCCCCATAGACTCGAAGCGGCTAAGGGGGGGGGGGTCCTTCAAAAGAGGGTGACGTAGAGGAGTTTTAAAGGGAGAAAGAGGAAATGGACCAGTGTCTCTTGGGAGTTGTAGTTTCCCATTGCTTTCTCGCAGCTGGAACTACTTATCCCAGGATGCAGTTCCACATCCCAGCTCTGGTTGCTAGTCACCCGCCGCAGCGGTGGAGTCAGTGTTTGCAGTTAGGGCTTAAGGTGAGGAGGGGGGAAGGGCGCAGTGGAGCTTTAGTTTGGGTGGGTTGGCGAGAGCTGGTGGGAAGAGCACTGCTGGAAACCTTAGGAGCCTGGAGGGAGGAGCGAAGGTCGTTTCCACTTACCGAGAGGTGAGGGGTGCGGAGTGAGGACTGGAGCCGCGATCTTCCCCTCAGGCACTCTTTGGGCAACAGGGGGAAGAAAATCCCACGGCCAACTGCAGCTGACAGAAAAAATGGAAACCTTAGGTTCATCATCATTTTCTCCTCACCCGCTTTCAAACCCATGTTTCCTCAGCCTGAGGAGCATTCTGAGCCTGGTATTCACTTCTTAGTGTAAAACCTGATATGTTGAAAATTTTAGGAGTTTCCATATTTACAATGTGTCATACACGGAAGAAAACTGTAGAAAGACTATCTACTTGTAGAATTTAGGCCGTAAGAGCGAGTTTGTGTAGGGCCTTCTTGGCCTTGACTGGAGGCAAGTAGGTTCTTTTTCTGGCTTCTGTTCCACTGCACAAACCACGGAATCTTTTTCTATGTACCCTCCTAATGTCTACTAATTATCTCTCTATTCCCTACCCCCATCTACCCTCATCCCCAAATTTACACCCTTTTTAATTCTCCTGAGTGCAGTATCTTAACTCTTCATCTCTGTAGTCTTTACTCCTTTCTAATTCACCTTCACTATTGTATCCAAAAATCCAAATTCCTTAGTATCATTAAGCCCACGCCTCCTTCGTAGTCTAATGTCAAACTCTTGACTCAACTTTACTGTTAGTAATACAAAGCGAATTTAAGTTCCTTAGTCTTTTCTCCTTTGACATAAAGAATTCATTCTTCCTAGAATACTCTTAATTCTGTAGTCTGACGCCTTTATAACAAAATATCTTGAAAGAGTTATCTATACAGCGTTGGCTCCAGTCTTCTCCTTCCAGTGACTGAATTCACTCCTATTAAACTTTTGTCCCCACCATTCTAATATGGAGTAGGTTTTATCACTAATCACCTCCACCTGCTATTTAGTCATTTGATCCGTGTGCAACATTTGACAGTTGATGACTTTGAAATATTTTCTTCTTCCAATTGACTTCCATCCAATTTTATAATACAAAAGCGAGGAGTTTATTATTGACTGATATTTGGTATTTATATTCCAGAAGTTTAGACCTTTTCATTCATCAGTTGAAAATATCAGATTTTTTCTGAAACAAATATGCATTTTTTAAAATCTTGACTTAATTTTTTTATTTTACATTAATTTGTCTTTCGTTAAAAAAAGTTAATTTTTTACACATACAGAACTGGGGTACAGGCCAGAGGTGCAGGGGCGGTGAGAGGCTTCACCAAAGACAGTGGGGAGCAGAACAGGCAGACTGACAAAGTACACTGCTGAGGGGAGGAGGGGGGGTTCGGTTCAGGAGAGGTCTGCCACGCCAAGCGGGGCACCTCCGGTGTGGGGATTGAACTGCACTGAAGGGCTATGGCTAGCTTGAAGTGCTGCATTTTCACCCGTTGAGCCACCAGAGGGCCTAATTGACGGTCTTTTTTTTTTCCTTCAGACTTATTAGAGCTTTGGTTTTGTTGCAACAGCAGGACAAGAGTCAACTTTTTTTCCTGGTGAACAAGTGTGACAAATGTCAGTCCAAGAAATAAATAAACATGCCGTTCTCCCTCCCATCATTAGTAGAAGTGACAAAGAATTTTTGGAAAGTATGCAAAGATACATAGTTACAGAAACTAAAAGAGTGGGCTGTAATGAGGAAGGACCTGCTGATGAATACTACATCATATACCGAAATGTTTTTGATAAGGTATTAATTACAATGCTCTTTAGATGATGGAGTTTTCATTTGGGTAGAAATTGCCTTGACAAACTAATAGTATTGCATTAGTTAACATTACTGTTTGATTACAGTCCATTGATCAATTTTGAAAGTTCATTTACTTTACCTAAATGAGATGAACGGGGAAATTACAATGCTTTGTTTATATTACAGGCTGTTAATAAATGTCTTAATTGTTTTAAGAGTAGGTTATCTTCATTGAGCAACAATATGTCTGTATTGTCATCATTTGACCTGTCTGGAAAAGTCATCTCAGTTGTGAGAAGTTGAGCTGCAAGCAGGAAATTGGTAGTTTCTTACTGCTTTGGGTTTGTTTGTAGTATTATTAAAATTTGATTTAAATTTGATCTAGCATATTAAATTAAGACTCATACAAATCAGAGGACAAGAAAGGCATTGTGAACAAGGGATATAACTGGCTTGAATTTTAGAACTTTGGAGCTAGAAAGTGCTATGACTTTATATAACATTTGGTTTTGCTTTTAAAAGCATTGAAAAACTTTTTCCTTATAAACACTGCTGAGGGCAACAGTGGGTGAGATAGGAGAGGTTTGCTGCACCATGTGGGTTAGCTCCCTGGCCAAGGGTGGAACTCATGCTTTGGTGCCTGGTGGTGGCTAGGCATAGCTATGATAATGCTGATACTTTAGCTCCTGTAACACCAGTGAACAGCCACTATTGTTTTTAAAGGTTCCAGGCTGGCAGTCTGCAGTGTGGTTATGTCAAAAAGACAGCCATTCATACTGGTGAATTGGTAGGAATTCTACAGGGGTTACAACCAAGGTGAAAAAGCATACATTGTACAAAATGAAGATTGATGAAAATTTTTTTTAAATTAAATATAGAGTTGAGTTTATTTAGAAAGACAGCCATTGTCTTCCACTCAAATATTTCTCTTCTGGTACTTGCTATTGATTATTAATTCCCATACATCATTTCTTTTTTTTTTTTTTTTAAGATTTACTTATTCATGCATATAGAATTGGGGTATAGACCAGAGGTGAAGGGGCAGTAAGAGAACTCCCCAGAGACAGAGTAGGGAGCAGAACAGGCAGATTGACGAAGTGTACTGCTGAGTGGAGCAGTGTATGAGACAGAAGTCTGTTGCGTCATGTGGGTCACCTCCTGGCCAGGGATTGAACTTGTGCTGAAGCAGCTGTGGACAGCCTTGCAGTGCTGTGCTTCAACATGTGCCACCAGGGAGGGCCCCATATAACATTTCTTGATATACTGGCTATCTTCCTGTATAAGTTTTTCTGTAGATTGCCTTATTAACAGAAAACCAGAGAATAGAGATGTAGTTGGGATAGCATAATTACAGCTTTCAGCAAAAGTTATGGTGTGTATGTGGTCATCCCTGGTGGCACAGGGGTTAAAGACAGTACTATTGAGCTATTACCAGACACTGAAGCACAAGTTCAATCCTGGCTCAGCCAGGAGCTAATCCACATGGCTCAGCAGACCTCTTCTGTCTTGCCCTCAATATCCCCTCAACAGATATTTCAGTATATCTGTCTGTTTTGCTCTCCACTCTGTCTCTGAAAATCTTCTCACAGCCCCATACCCCCACATTTCTGGCCTATACCCCAGTTTGTGCATAAATAAATAATTTTTTTAAAATTAAGGCATGATCTATTTTCTATAATATATTGACCCTTTCTGAAATCCTTATGAGCAGAATTTGGAAATCATAGCTAATAACTTTGTTTTTAAGCTTATTTGATAATATTTTTGTATATGTTTGCATGGATAATGAATAAACCCATTAACAAAAGAGAAAAAAAGGTAAGAAAAAGAATTAGCGATGAAGAAGATATACCAGTGGATAGTCAGTTCCTTCTGATCTTAGATCCTACTTCCTCTTTTCTTCTCTGCAGGTACCAACTATTTATTTTTCCTTTTCTTTTTTTTAAATTTTCATTATCCTTCCAGAGATTTTCTGTACTTAAATACCATAGGAGACCATAAAAGTATAGTGGTGACAGGCATTCTGCAGTTATAGTTGACCTCTTGGGAATAGAAATGCAATTTGGGAATTGAAAGCATTGATCTGCTAATAGGTACTGATAGATTAGAAAAACAGGGAGGTGAAGGAAGTCCAGGATTATAAAATCTGAGTAAAGTCAGAGGCTAGATTTGGGACAGTCAGCGGTATTATGTAGTTATATTTAAAAGAGTCAGAGTTGTGATAATTAGGCCTGGTATTGGTTTTAACTGACATATGTGTATGTTCATACCAACTAGAGCAAAAATGCTTACTTCCTCTCATATTTAAGCTCACAGTGTTGTAATGAGTCATGTGGAGCACATAAAGATTAGTTGTTTTTAATACCCAATCTTTTAGACTTCTAATTGCTAATAATGTTTCATTTAAAAAATAAATTTATATTATAGTAATGGCACACGGGTGATTTGGTGATGGGAAGCCCACGGGGATTAAATCTGAGATGGAAAAAGGCCCAAAATGATGTAAAAATAAACTATTATATTATTAAATAAATAAATGTATTATGCTATTTGCAAAGCTTTTACTCATACTGTTTTAGAAAAAAAATTCAGTACCACAGGCAGAAAAATCATATTTCAGGTAATAGATTATGTCAACGCATACAAACCCATTCTAACTTCAATCAAAAAAGAATATGATACCTTCATTGAGACCCTAAAGAGAAGTCAGAGGACTACATTTTTTCTTCATGGAAAACTTAAAGTTTTGGCAGCAGAGCCTACAACATTGGCATATCACAGGAAAAGAATAACCCAACTTGAAGCAAAGTAAGTATATTAGCAATTACCCCCAAAATGTAATAATTGTTATTTGGTTATATTAACTAGATGGTAAGCATCATTTCTTTTTTGCATTTCAATTTTATTTTAAACTTATTTTCTTTAAGATTTATTTATTTATGCATGGAGAACTGGGGTACAGGCCAGAGGTGCAGTGGCAGTAAGAAGATTCACCGAAAACAGTAGGGAGCAGAACAGGCAGATTGACAAAGTACACTGCTGAGGGGAGCAGCTGGTAATCCGCCCCAACTATGGAGGTGTAGTGTCAGGAGGTGAGACAGGCAGGGCCCAAAGGTGGGAAGGCATCAGCCTACCAAAAGGGAAGCAGACAAGGGAGTCAGAGCTGGGTGCAAGTCTTTCTGCTCATTCCCTCAGCAGGTCTTCATTTATACTGTGCAACAAGTAGTTAACTGTAATAATGCATAGGGTGAGTTAATGAGAGGTAGCCATAAATTGTAATAAATGTTTTCAAGGACCAGGGGAACAAAGCATTTTTTTTCCTTAACATTTTATGGTATACTAAATTACACATTTTTGTGATAATTGTCATGTATACAGATGTTTAACTATAACTCAAGGGAAGAGGGGTTTGGGAAAGGATGAACTTGTTAGCAAAAGGTTATTAGGGGTTTTAGGGAAGTAATGAATTGTGTTAGCAGTGTTAGCAGTGATAGTCTAAAGAAAAGCTAATGGCTAATTTAAGGCTAGCAGAGAGTAGTTAGTGCTTCTTTTATAAAGGAGTAAATTAAGAGAAAGTTGTACAGTTGTGTATTAAGCAACACCTGTGTAAATAAGGTCAAAAATTGTCCATGAGTCCTTATGCCCTGGAAGTCTTATCTGAGATTTGCTTTTTATTTTAAAGAAATATTTTAAAGCTTTCCAGGAGTTTTTATGCCCTGGGGTCTTATCTCTCCTGGGGCTTGCCTTTTGTCTCAGGAGACAGAGGAATTTCCCACCCTGGGGCAGCTTGCCTGGGCCAAGCAGCCACCTTATGAGGCTAAGGCAATCCAGTGGTAAACTGATGGTTGCTCAGAATATTTTGATACTGTGATTATACAAAAAAGGGAGGTCATAATATAACAGGTACAGGTTTCATGGACTCCGCCCCTACTCCAGATGCTGGAACTCCACATCCCATCATGAGGGCGGAGCTGAGCAGCCAGGTTGGGATAAAACCGGACATGTGGGCTCTGGGTGGGGACCTGGTGGTTCGCAGCTGATCGTTTTGGCGCTCAATCGGTTTTCAGCGTGCCGGTGGAGTCCAAGTCAGCAGAACTGGTAGGACATCCTAGTTAACCTGTGTTTCTCTCCCTCTTTCCCTGGGTTATTCCTTTACCTTTCTCCTTATAAATAAATCCATTATTTAACCTTATGGACCTTGAGTGTATCCATAATACGATTGAAATGTAAGCGCACGGGTGAAGACGTACAGACAGGCAACCCAATTCACATTGGGGTACCCTGTAACAATAACATAAGTTAGCAGTGGAAATTAAGATTTTTCAGAGCTTTTCCTAATCAGATGGAGTGAAATAGTCATTATTGTGTCTAAGAACAACTCTTAAAAAAGAGGCTAGGAGACAGACAGTATTTGAATAGATAATGGCTGAGAATTTTCTAGAAATATGAAATAATACCAATTCACAGATTTAAGAAGCTCTAAGTAAACAAAGTGTTTTAAATAATAAGTTCTTTGGGGCCTCCCTGGTGGTGCAGGGGTTAATCCGAGCACTATGAAGGTATCCACAGCCACTACAGTGTAAGTTTTATTCCCACCCAAGTAGGTGACCCACGTGGTGCTCTCCTGTCTCACCTGCTGTTCCCCTCATCAGTATATTTCAGAAGATTTGCTGTTCTGCTCCCTATGCTGTCTCTGGTGTATCTTTTCACCCCTGCACCTCTAGCCTGTACCCCAGTTCTTGTATGCATAAATAATTAAATCTTTAAAGAAATTCTCAGCTAGATCTATTGTAGTGATATTGTTGAAGAAAAAGATCATAAAAGCGGTCTTAAAAAGGAACAACAGGGCCCTCCATAGTGGTGTGGCAGGTTGGAGCATAACATTGTGAAGCTGGCGGTGGCCACTTCACTGAGAGTTCCATCCCTGGCCCTGGAGGTGATCCACATGGTGCAGCAGACCTGTTTTGCCAGCTGCTCCCCTCAGCAGTGTACTTCATTGATCTGCCTGTTCTGCTCCTCAGTCCGTCTCTGGTGAATCCTCACACTGTCCCTGCACCTCTAGCCTGTTCCCTTGTTCTATACACATAAATAGATAAAATCTTTAGAAAAAAATTGTAAAGAAGAAAACTTTGTTTAAAAAAAAAAGAAAAGAACAACAATTTAGATACCTTCTCAGTCGTATTGTGGCATGTAATGTAACTATTCCTTTGTATGGCTGAAATACTTTATGTTTGTGTATATCATATTTTATTTCCTTGTTCATAGATACTTGAATTTTTTTCCCCTTTGACTATTGTGAGTCATGCCACTATTAACATTTATGTGTGTCTATTTGAATCTTTGCTTTCAATTCTTTTGAAAATCTGTTAACTTTTAACATGCTTTTCCATAAATTTAAATGGAGGAAAGTCAATGGATATTTTATTTTCATAGTCCCTCTTTCATAAACACTGCTCTGAGCCATCTGCTGTTACCCAGAATTTATAATCAAAAGCAGGTAGCGGTTGCTTAGTGACTGGTTTTCACTTTGCCAAAAATCCTTGACATTGTGTATCTATTTTAATGTTATTTCTTCCCTGAGCCAATTTATCAGTGATAATTCAAAGTAAACTTTAAACAGTGCTAAAATAGTGCTTAAAAGAAGTTTCTGTCTACTTCTTGCTCTTTAAGATCTGATTTCTGGTGTTTTTTTTTTTTTTTTTTGTCTTTTTGGGAGTGTGGCTTTTTTTGTATGTCTGTGTGGCTTCTTTTATTTACCATATAGTTGTTTTGTTTTGTCTTTTGGCTGGAATACATTCATTGGAATAATAAGCCTTTATTTCTTTTTTTTTTTTGATGATTACATTTTTTTTATTAGAATCTAATTTCCAAATGAACTCAGTTCTATCTCAAAGAAGTGCTGTAATTCCTCTAGTTGTAGGAACAAAATTATTGTAGGAAGTTAGAGCTATCATATCCTAATCTTTGGAATCTGGGAATGTTTGGTCCTGACTTCTGTGACCAGCCACAAAGAAGAAAGATGGGAGGCAGAAAGGCTGAGCAAGTAAGAGTTTATTGCTCCTGGGCAGCAGCTGAGACAGAGCTCCCAAGGGTGGGGTCCACAGCTACCATGAGTGCTGTAAGGGAAAGTGTCTCTTATATAGGTTTTAGGTTCAGATTCTAGAAAGCTGACGTGTTGCTGTACACCTGTATGTGAGGCCCAGTTCCGGTCATTGTGTTATCACCCATATCTGGTCACACAGGTAGCTGTTGTGTTACTGCCCAAATCTGGTCACACTCAACAGATACCTTTTTTTGGGAGTAGGGCCTTTACAGATTTGATTACTTGAAGGATTTTGAGTTGGGGAGATTGTCCTGGATTATGCAGGTGGACCCTAAATACGATCACAGCTGTCCTTATAAGAGAGAGGCAGAAGGAACTATGACAAGCAGAAATGGGGAAGGCACAAGTAGAGATTGAGTGATACAGCCACAGAAGGCTGCAGCCTCTGACTCTGGAGGAGGTGATAGATAGATTCTACCTAGAGCTTCTAGAGGAAGCATATCCCTGACAAGACTATGTTTTGGGGTGTTACTTATGTTGGGGCTTCTAGACAGATTCTACCTAGAGCTTCTAGAGGAAGCATAGCCCTGACAAGAGTACTGTTTGGGTGTTATTTATGTTGGGCTTCTGACCTTCAAAATTGTGGGGGTAAGTATTTGGTGTGTTATGCCACCAAATTTGTAGCAATTTGTTGTAACAGCCACAGGAAATGAAAGCAATTACTTGAAAAAATAGCTTTTAAAATTTGGCAACTCTGAATTAAGGGAGAGAGCTCTGGACATTGGAGATTATTTTATTTAACACATAAAGGGTTGCAAGTCATAATCTGTACAGGATTTTATTGATGCTGTGAAAGAAAGTTGTTCCTCAACTTGTGATCTTAGTTAACTTTTCTAAGTGTTATTTCATAAACTTGAATCACTTCGTAAACTTTGAATCATGATTCAAAATTATAACTAGCCAAATTATTGATTTAACCTCTTTAAATCTTATGACTTAGTAATTAGTTGAAAAAAACCTTTGTTTTTCAGAATGAGAGTTATTGAAAATAATTCTTCAAAGATTCAATCACATATAGACGAAGTGAAACAACTTAGAGCAGAGTATGACACGAAAAAAGTAAAATACTGTACATTTCCCAAAGGTCCTTCAAAACCTATTCCAGGTACCATTTCCACATGTTACTTATTAACATACATACATATATATATATGCATGCATGTATGAGACTATCATATAGGCACCCAAGGACTTTACAAATAACTTCAGCCAGGTCTGTAGGTAGATACAAGGGAATAAGAAAACTATATAAGATAAAAGAATGCATAATGCGATGGCTTTTGAAATGTGGTTCTTGTATCAACATCAGCATTACTTCGGAATCTGTTTGAAATGCAATTTCTTTGTCCCTGCTACAGATTTACTGTGTCAGAATCTCTGAGAATGGGCGTTGGTGGGTGGAGTGGATATAAGGGTTGGAGTAGAGGTAGAACCCAGTAGTCAGTGTTTTAACAATTTTTCCAGATTCTAAAGTACTCTAAAGTTTGGGAAACTGTCTTATAGTATATGAAAAAAACTAGTGTATGAAAAACAATTTTTCAACTTAAAAACTAGTTTTAAAGTTTTGCTAAATATTGTTTTTTCATGTTAGTGTCAGCATTCACTGGTTCCTGTCTTTAGTGAAGTCACATTTTTCAGAAATCAGAGTATGTGCCATGATTTAACCAGGATGTTACAAGATTGTGTCATGAATGAAGAATGGAATAAAAAATATACACCCTGGAGAATAGTTGACTGTATCAAAACATTTAAAGGCTTTCACTAGTGTTTAGTGAGTGGCAGGATCAGTTGGTGGAAATTTTGGAAATAGATTTGATTTCTGTAAAAGCTATATCTTGAGTTAATGAGCTCTTCCATACCAGAGAATTTCAACTGAATTAAGTCATCATCTTGCATTTGGTGGAAGCAGGGAATAGATTCACTCTCAAATATAAAATGACTGGCAAATTCCAAGTAAGATGCAAAAGATTATGTATAGGATAACTGATCAATTGACTAAATATTGATATGATTCATTGTACTGAAATGATTAAAATCAAACATAAATAACTGAGGACATTTCTGAAAGAGAATTGAGGTATACCTTTAAAGACAGTAACTGGATCAAATGAGAAAGAAGTGTATTTGAAGAGAGAGAGAGAGAGTGTGTGTGTGTGGTTATGAATAATGAGAGGACAGTGAGAAAGGGAGAGAAAACTGAAGATTTGGCAGGTATTTATAAATTTTATCTTGGAGATAAACAGATTACCCTGGGATTAGCTATAATAGATTAATGAAAGAATTGGTTAAAGAGAAATTATTTGACAGAAATCTTGAATTGTTAGCCAAAGACTCTTGGTGTTAACAAATAAGAATGATATATAGGGGGTTGGGGGGTATGGTGATAAGGTCATTAAATTTTTTTTCTTAAGGTGCTGAGGTATTTGTGTTCTTAGAACAATCCATCTTCAATGAATCTTCATTAATGCTATGTTTAAAAATGATAGTTATTTAAAAATAGATGCTAATTCTGAATATGTTCTAATATGTTCTGTAAGCATTAAGTTCACACTACCATTTCTGAGTTTTGTATAACATAATACAAACTATGTGATGTGTTTTGCAGAACTTGTTGTTAGAACATGAGTCTTTGGATTTACTGTGTCTTGATTTCTTCCCATTCTCCATAGGCATGACTCTCCAAGAATCTGTAAATTTAGAGTCTCTCACTAAATACCTGAAATTTCTTGAAGATAAATATGCAGAAATTAAGCAAGTTAAGTCACAAAAATATATACCAGCTCAGAAGAAGGCTGATTTAGATGAGGAAATGATTGTGGCACTAAAACGGCGAGATTTAACTGAAAATCTGAATAAAGAATTACGGTTTTGGTATGGATGTTGGTTATATTTATTTAAAGGTTAATGCTTTTATTTGTGTTTATCAATATTACACCATTTAATTTTAGGTTCAGTATATTGTCACTTTTTTTTGTCTTTATAGTCATCAAAGACTGCAGATTATTTCATATGCACTTTCTTCATGGATAAAATCTGGTATGAGCCATTCATTTCAAGACTTTGTGCAGCAGATTCAGAAAACCAAAGATTTAGAAGGTATCTTACCTTTTTTAACTAACAAAAATAATGGAAAACGTATTTTTTTTTTTTTTAAAGATTTATTTATTTGTGCATACAGAACTGAGGGTGCAGGCCAGAGGCTCAGGGGCAGTGAGAGGCTTCACCAGAGACAGAGTGGGGAACAGAACAGGCAGATAGACGAAGTACACTGCTGAGCGAAGCAGCGGGCAGGTCAGAGAGGTCTGCCGCGCCATGTGGTCACCTCTGGGGCAGGTGGGAATCGAACTCATGCGGAAGCGGCTTTAGATTATCAGTGCTGTGCTTTAACCCACTGCGCCACCAGGGAGGGCCGGAAAACGTATTTTTGCCCAGAAAGCAGAAGAGTAAAACTTTCCTAGACTGAGTTTAAATAAAAAATGTACTTCTGTGAGGTCTCTATTACCCTACGGATTTCTTCCTGTAGCAATTGTACGTAATTGTTTGAGAGTAGACTTAGTTAACCATTGAGGGAACATCTGAAAATAAGAAAGGGAAGGGAAAGGCAACCACTCAAGTTAGGATGATATTGTTGTGTTTAGAAGCCATAGCATTAAGTTATTGGTATTAAACATATAAATGTTTCTTATTTTGTATTGATAAATCTTAATTATCATCTAGGTGAGAAAGGCATTATTGAGGAACTACTTACAGATGATCCAAACAAGGCAAAAGAAACTGAAAATTTGCTTTACTACATTGAAAGGCAAATATTTTTAAAACTTTGATTTTTCTTTGTTAAAATGTTAGCATTTATTTATTGTTCATTTAAATACTTATACAATGCTTATTTAATATTCATTTATTACAGTTAGTGTTTGTTTAGTGTCTTGATAAACAATAGTCTGTAAAGAATAAATTAGAAAATAAATGAGAATTTTAAAAATTGACACATTCTAAAAAAAAGTATAGCGGATCGGTAGTGCAGGAGATTTTTCAGAGAAAATTATAGTGTTGATATGAGTTTTACTTATATTTTTCTTGTTACAACCTTCCACTTGATGTTTCAGAAATTTTTTGAGAATGCTTTCTTGAGTCAAATTATCTCATTTCCCCCCTATAAAGTAGTAAGGTGGCATGTTTCTCCCAATACTGACTATATACAGAATGAAATAGAGGCTTAAAGATATCTAAGACTTTATTCTGTAAGAGGTTAATTCACAGGTTATGAGACCGGTATGTAATAGTCATCTGAAATATTCTTAATCTTATATGTTAGACAGTTTTCAGCTTTTTGACTTGCTTGTTGATATCGTACAAAGAAAGGGGTAAAGATTTTTGGGGGAACATCAAAGTCTGTTACTTTCCTACACTGTATGTTTCTCTAAATCTACCAACTTTAGATATGAGAGAAAACATTTGCTAAGGTTTAAAATTTCATGTATTTTGATTTATATTACTTGACTAGTTTTTCTGCTCTAGTTTTCCATATTTGTTTACAACATTGTATAAGTCCTGTTGGCCATATTATTAATTGCAAGATGACTTGAATACCTTCTAATATAGAAAGAAAAGTAGAAGCTTTAGTTATTTTTTGTTTTTTTTTTTTTCTTTCTTGTGTCAGTATAATATTTAACCGGTGGCTTACAGAATAATAACTTCTGAATATCAAGGACAACTCTTAATTTCAACTTGGCATATCTTTGTGGTCAATATTTGGCCTAGGTTGAACCTTTAAGCAGATTACACCTCTTTTTATCTGTAGATGTGACAGGAAAAAAAAAATCTGAATTCATTGTCAATCACTCAAGTCCTTTTAATTTTCTATGGGTTGCTATAAGTATGAGAGTTATATTCTTTCTTTTTTTTCAATTACGTTTATTGAGCGAAAGTTAGTTTACATAATTGTACCTGTTTGGGGTGATAGGTTCAAGCTTCTACAATTGTATGTTTTTCAGAGTTCTAATGAGTCAAAAAAAAAAGCCAAAAATTTGGAAAGAAGTGAAATAACATCATTCAGAGTAAATGAATGTTGTTTTAGTTTATTAGAATTGTTTTATGTTTTTTGCATTATTGTGCTATAACGTTTAGTCTTATTTTGACATTTCTAATCACTTTTCTTTTTCATATATACTATTATGATGAATAATAAAATGCAATGGCTACAGGTTCAATAAATTACTTCTACTTGGCAAATATGAAAAGGCAGCTTATTTTGCAGCAAACAGTCCTAAAAGAATTCTTCTAAACATTTGGACAGTGAATAAACTTAAGGGTAAGCATTTCTCTTTGAATGATTTTATATATATATAAAATATCTATTTAATTATTCCCCTTGACAGAATGAAAAGAATATTATACTGAAAAATTAAAGCTCTAGGCTCCAATTCTGTCACTAGCATTTATTCATTTTCCTCAGCTGTAACATTAACAGGGGTTTGACTAGGTTTTCAAAATTAAGCTATAGAATATTTCAAGTATACATAAAAGTATGGCGAAACATATAGCAGCCATATAAACTTACTATCACCATTTACTCTTTTTTTTTAAAAAAAGATTTATTTATTTATGCATATACATCTGGGGTATAGGCCAAAGATACAAGGGTGGTAAGAGGAATCACCAGAGACAGAGTGGGGAGCAGAACAGGCAGATCAACGAAGTACACTGCTGAGGGAAGGAGCCGGTGAGACAGGAGAGGTCTGCGATGCCATTTGGATCACCTGCCTGGCCAGGGATCAAACTTGTGCTGCATTGGTTGCCATAGCTTCTAAATGCGGTGCTTTAATGCCTTGTACCACCAGGGAGGGTCCCTAAATTTAAAAAATTTCATATAGTATTTCTGGTCTTCATTCCTTAGCATAGATCCATATCTACATCATTTTCCTTCTAATTAAAAAACTTTATTTTAAATAGTACAAGTCTGTTGGTCATATATTATTTCAGATTTTAAACTTTCTCTGGAAACTGAAGGAGGTGATTTTCTAGCTTCTTTCCTGGCTTCTGAATGACTCAGCAAATTTTGGCATTTCTTGGCATGTAGGTACATCAGTCCAGTCTCTGCCTCAGTTTTCATGTGGCATGTGATATTGATTCATTATTCAAAATACAAAGTTTAATCCATAGCATTGGTTAAAAATTACAAATATGTAACTTTAGATTAAAATTTTCAGAAAATGCAGAGATGACAAGAATATGAAGAAAAAGCAAACTATTATTGAAAATATTTCACTTAAAATTTTGCTTCTTTCTGTAGTTATTGGAAAAATTAGAGGAGGACTTTTTCCATTGCTAATATTTTTTGAGGCTATCTTTAGCACAAGTCATGCTTTCAGACGTCCTATTGATGCAGAACTAACCCTGGAAGGAATCAAATGTGGATTGTCTGAAAAACGTTTAGATTTAGTTACCAACTGGGTCACTCAGGAAAGGTAAGCAGAATTAAGCTTTTATTTAATATTTGTTCTCAAGTTTTTAATAGTTTTTTAATAGTACATTATTTGAGCATTTGCTTCATTGCAAATGGGTCAGTCAGGGGATAATATAGCGATTGGAGGAGGGTGGGGTGAGGAAAGGAGATCTCTAGGCTCATTTCCCAGCTCCATCCAGGTTATTTACTACCTTCTTTTCTCCTAGGGCCAGAATTCCTTGTTTCTCCTTCCCCTCCCTCCACATAGGGACAATTTCATTCTTTTGGGACTTGACCCTCCTTCTTGCTTAGAATAATTTTTATTTTTAATTGGACTTTTCTGTGGAAAGTGACAAGCCAAGACAGAGCAACCTCAGTCAGTTTTAAAATAACACTGGCATGGTACTTCTGTTTTCCTTATAGTACCAATGCTTGCAAGATCTGTCATTTTATTTTGAACTAAAATTTGTTATCATTGACTGTAATCAGCATGTAGGAACAGTGGGCGGGTCAGGAAAGGTCTGCTGCGCCATGTGGATTACCTCCAGAGTGGGCATCGAATTCATTCTGAAGTGGCTTAGCTTCTTTTTTTTATTATTTTTTAATTTTAATTTATTATTATTATTTATTTATATATTTTTATTATATATATATTTTATTTTATTTTTTGATTTATTTATTCATTCATGCAGAACTGGGGTACAGGCCAGAGATGCAGAGGGTGAGAGGATTCACCAGAGACAGAGTGGGGAGCAGAACAGGCAGATCTAGGAAGTACACTGCTGAGGGGAGCAGAGCAGAACAGGCAGATCTAGGAAGTACACTGCTGAGGGGAGCAGCGGGCGGGTCAGGAGAGGTCTGCCATGCCATGTGGATCTCCTCAGGGGCAGGCGGGAATCGAACTCATGCGGAAGTGCTGTGCTTTAACCCGCTGCGCCACCAGGGAGGGCCGGCTTTAGCTTCTTAGTGCTGTGTTTTAAACAGCTGTGCCACCAGGGATGACCCGATTCTCCTTTTTTTAAAGAAGATTTATTTATTTATGCATACAAGAACTGGGTACAGGCCAGAGGTACAGAGGAATAAGAGGATTCACCAGAAGCAGAGTGGGGAACAGAACAGGCAGATGTACTGAAATATACTGCTGAGGGAGCAGTGGGCAAGACAGGAGAAGTCTGCTGCATCATGTGGGTCATCTCCCTGGCCAGGGATTGAATTTGTGCTGCAATGACAATGGATAGCTTCAGACTGCTGTGATGTTACTCCTTGTGACACTAGAGAGGCCCTTGACCTTTTTTGTAGATGTTTTTAAAAGTCTTCCCCTAAAGGAATATGATTGATTTTGTCCTAGTTATGTTAAATCTTAGATATGTTAAATTTCTTCCAGATAAATTGGCTATTAATTTGAAATTCTTTTTTTTTTTTTAAGATGTATTTATTTAGGCATATATGGGTTAGAGGCCAGAAGTATGGGGCAGTGAGAGGATTCACCAGAGACAGAATGGGGGGCAGAACAGGCAGATGTACTGAAATACACAGCTGAGGGGAGCAGTGGGCAGCTGAAGAGGGATCTGCCATGCTATGTGGGTCACCCCCTGGCCAGGGATTGAACTCATGCTGCAGTGGCTGCTATAGCTTCATAGTGCTGTACTTTAACCCCTTGTACCACCAGGGAGGGCCCTAACTTGAAATTCCTAAAGTCTATAGAAAATCCAGTTCTGGTATGCTGAATTTTCATATATTTCATTCTTATCCATTCATCAAGAATTCTAATGTGTGCCCTGTTGATCTTCCTTCTCTAGGCTGACATTTTCTGAAGAGGCTGGAGATGTGATTTGTGATTATGGGGAACATGATATTTACAACAAGGCTAAGTGCCTGGCTCTAGCTCAAATTATTTATAGCGAATGTGGTTTGCATAAGAAATTTCTTCTTTGCCTGTGTAAACAGGGTCAGGTTCACGCAGCCATGGAATATATAGAACAATTCAAGGACTTAACTTCTGGTAAGTAAAAAAACCCCACAAAAACAAACAAAAAAACCCCTACCTATTTGTAGATATTGAAATTCTTGACTTTAATTGTAAAGTCCCCTTTGGTTGCAGGTAGTATTTTGGGTTTACATTATAAGCTGATAAGTGGATTTCTTTCATAACTTTTACTGAAAATAATTAAGGTCAGAGCTGATGAATGACGTTCATGTTAGCAATTCAAAACATAAGCATTTAGTTAACTGGGTAAGTACTGAAACATAGTTTTTTAAAAGATGTATTTATGCATACAAGAACTGGAGTACAGTCCAGAGGAGTGGGAGTTTAGAGGGTTCACCAAGACAGAGTAGGGGAACAGGACAGGTGGATTGGTTGAAATACAATGCTGAGGGGAGCAGTGGATGAGACAGGAGAAGTCTGCTGCACCATATGGGTCAGCTGCCTGGCCAGGGATCAAACTTGTGTTTCAGTAGCTGTGGATGGCTTCATAGTGCTGAAACTTAACACCTTGTGCCACCAGGGAGGTCCCTGAAATACATCTTTTTTTTTTTTTTTAAAGATGTATTTATTATACATACAGAACTGGGGTAGTGAGAGTATTCACCAGAGACAGTGGGGAGCAGAACAGGCTGACTGACAAAGTACACTGCTGAGGGGAGCAGCGGGCAGGTCAGGAGAGGTCTGCCACACCATGTGGATCACCTCCAGGGCAGGGATCAAAGTCATACTGAAGTGGATTTAGCTTCTCAGTGCTGTTCTTTAACCCGCTGTGCCACCAGGGAGGGCCCTGAAATATATAGTTTTTTTTTTTTTTTTTAAAGATTTATTTATTTGTGCATACAGAACTGGGGTACAGGCCAGAGGCTCAGGGGTGGCGAGAAGCCTCACCAGAGACAGAGCGGGGAGCAGAACAGGCAGATCGAGGAGGTACACTGCTGAGGGGAGCAGCGGGCGGGTCAGGAGAGGTCTGCCACGCCATGTGGTCACCTCCGGGGCAGGCGGGAATCGAACTCATGCGGAAGCGGCTTTAGATTCTCAGTGCTGTGCTTTAACCCGCTGCGCCACCAGGGAGGGCCTGAAATATATAGTTTTAAAGATAAATTTAGCAGCAGTATAAATTTTGCTGGATAATTAAAGGAGTTTAAAAAAAAAAAAAAAACAACTTGTCTTAGCTATGTCCTGAAGTATAATACCTGAAGTATAATATAAGCATTAGAGGAGAAGAATTAAGGAAATAATGTTTATTTAAAATTTTGCAACACCTAGCTTAGCTTGTCATTTGAGTAGTGATCCAAGACAATTTTTTTTAACTTACAGAATTTACTTCGAATTGGAGATCCTGATTTAGTAGCTGATCTCTTATTATGAATCTAGTCTAGCAGTAAAATTAATATACAGACATCTCTGATATCTGTCCAAATATTGCCTCAATTAAAAATTAATTTAAAGTCTTTCATTCCAAAGGCATAAATCTGATTGACAAATAAATTGACTGTTTTAGAAGTAAAGATTCTTTTTATTTTCCTCAGTTAATAAGTAGTTTCTAGAATAAAGCCTGAAATTATTTGCTTACCTCCATTATTATTAAATAAGTGAACATCCTTTAGGGGAAATTCTAGATCTGAGGCTCTCAAATTTATGGTTTGGGGCCTGCTTTATACTTTTAAAAAGCATCAAGAATCCCTAAGAGCTTTTTACTTATATGGGTTATATATATCTATTGCTATTTACCTTATTAGAAATTGACAGGAAATTTAAAAATATTGAGTCATTTAAATAATAAGTCCCATAATATGTTATCATAGATAAAATATTTTTATAAAAAATTACTTCTCTAACCACACAATTTCATCAAGAATGGTAGTACTTTACATTTTACAAATCTCTATAATGTCTGGTTTAATGGAAGACTAGATTCACATATCTGCTCTGTCTTCAGTCTATTGTAATAGCACATGTTGTGTAGTTGCTGGAAAATGTGTTTGTAAGAGAATGAAAATGAAAAAGATGAATATAATAATTTAGTATTTTTATGAAAATAGCTCTGACTTTAGACCTAGACCATATTTTGAGAACCAATTTCTAGACAACTGTAGTCAACACACATGGTATAGTACCACTACCTAAAATAAATAATGATTAATAACATGTCAAGCCAAGGAATAAGGAAAAGTATTCTGAAGTGTCATAATCACAGGGGGAAGGTCACAGGATTTCAATTTGTGAACAGGCTGACTGACAAAGTACACTGCTGAGGGGAGCAATGGGCGGGTCAGGAAAGGTCTGCTGCACCGTGTGGGTCACCTCCGGGGCTGGGATCTAACTCGCACTGAGGCAGCTGCTGCCAGCTTGCAGTGCTGCGTCCTAACCCGTTGCACCACCAGGGAGGGCCCTGTTGCTACTTTTTTGAATATGTCCATTCTTACTGGTGTGTTGACATCTCATTGTGGTTTTGACTTGCATTTCTCTGATTATAAGTGTTATTGAACTTTTTTTTTAAAAAAAAAAAAGATTTATTTATGCATATAAGAACTGGGGTTTAGGCCAGGGACTGGGGGGGGGGGTGAGAGGATTCACTTAAGACAGAGTTGGGAGCAGAACAAGCAGAAATATACTGCTGAAATATACTGCTTAGGGGAGCAGCAAGTGGGTCAGGAGAGGTCTGCCATGCCATATGGGATACTTACCCGGCTAGGGATCGAACTCGTGCTTCAGTGGCTATTGCAGCTTCATAATGCTGCACTTTAATCTGTTGCACTAACAGGGAGGGCCCAACGTTGAAACTGGGGTACAGACCAGAGGTGCAGGGGCAGTGAGAGGATTCACCAGAGACAGAGAGGGGAGCAAAACAGGCAGATTGACAAAGTACACTGCTAAGGGGAGCAGTGGGTGAGTCAGGGGAGGTCTACCGCGCCATGTAGATCACCTCTAGGGCTGGGGATTGAACTCGCACAGAGGCTGCTGTGGCCAGCTTACAGTGCTGCATCCCTCACCCGTGGCCACCAGGCAGGGCCCCCAATGTTGAACATTTTTTATAGACCTGTTAGCCATTTGCATTTCCTCTTTGGAGAAATGTCCTTTTAGTTCTTCTGACCATTTTTCGATTGTATTGTTTTTGTTGAGTCTTGTGAGCTCTTTGTAGTCAGTCCATTGTCAGTTGTACGGAGTGTGAATATTTTCTCTTAATCAGTATGGGGTTTCTTTGTTTTGGTTATTGTTTGGTTATTGTACAGAAGTTTATTTTTTTTAAGATTTATTTTTTATTTTATTTATGCATACAAGAACTGGGCTATATGCACAGATTCAGGGGTTGAAAGATTTACCAGGGACAGAGTGGGGAGCAGGTCAGGCAGAAACACACTGCTGTGGGGAACATCAAGCAAAACGAGAGGTCTGCTGTGCCATGTGGATCGAACTCCTCCACAGTGGCTGGTGATAGTTTGTTAATGCTGAGACTTAAACCTTTGTACCACCAAGAAGGCTCTGCTATACAGCAGCTTTTTAGTTTGATATAATCCCAGCTGTTTATTTTTCCTTCATTTTTTTTGCTTTCAGGAATGTCGTTAAAGACATTTCTCAGATGTCTGTCTTGGAGAATTTTGCCTGTGTTTTCTTCCATATATTTTATGGTTTTCAGTCTCAGTGTTTAAGTCTTTTATCCATTTTGTGTTAGTGTTTGTTCATGGTTGAGGTAGTAGTCTAGTTTCATTCTTTGGCATGTGACAGTCCAGTTTTCCCAGCACCATTTATTGAACGGGTTGCCCTTGTTCCATTGCATAGTCTTTGCTACTTTGACATAGATTAGTTGTCCATATATGTGGCTTTATTTCTGAGTTATCAAATTGATTCCATTGGTCTGTGTGTCTGTTTTTGTTCCAGTACCACAGTTGTTTTTTTTCTTCACACTGTTTTTACTATTGTGATTCTGGAGTATAGTTTGCAGTCTGGAAGTGTGATACCTCCATTCTCCGTTTTTTTCAGGAGAGCTTTGACTATTCTAGGTTTTTTGCAATTTCATATGAATTAGCATTGTCTGCTCTATTTCTTTGAAGACTGTCACTGAGATTTTTTTCTTTTAAGATTTATTTATTTATGCATACAGAACTGGGGTACAGGCCAGAGGTGCAGGGGCAGCGAGAGGATTCACCAGAGACAGAGTTGGGAGCAGAACAGGCCAACTGATGAAGTACACTGCTGAGGGGAGCGGTGTGGGTGGGTCAGGAGAGGTCTGACGTGCCATGTGGGTCACCTTCAGGGCAGGGTTCACATTCATGCTGAAGTGGCTTTAGCTTCTTAGAGATGTGCTTTAACCCGCTGCGTCACCAGGGAGGGCCCACCACTGAGATTTTTATTGGGGTTGTGTTCAGTTGCTTTCAGTAGGATGGCTATTATGACAATGTTAGTTCTTCAAATCTATGAGCAGGGTTTTTTTTTCATTTCTCTGTGTCTTTTATTTCTTTTAACAATGTTTTATAATTTTCATCATATATTTTTATAATTTTCTTTGTCTTTCTCCTTCTTTGTTGTAGCTATTCCTAGGTGTTCAATGTTTTTGGTACAAATATAAATTTTTTTTTTAATTTCCTCTACATCAGACTGTCTATAGGAAGCCTATTGATTTTTGTGTATTGATTTTCTTCTGATATTTTGCTAACTGGTTTATTATTTTAATTAGTTTGTGATAGACTTTTTAGGGTTCTCTGTATTATCGTCTGCAGATAGTGATAGTTATACTTCTTCTTTCCCTATTTGAATTCCTTGCATGTCTTTTTCATGTCTTACTGCTCTGGGTAGGACTTCCAGTACTATATAAAAGTACACTGAGAATTATATTGGCTGTTACATATCAGTTGGGTTTGTTGTATGTGGCTTTTATCATATTAAGGTGTGATACTTATGTTCCAAGAATTTTGAGTCTTCATCATAAATGGGTGTTGAACTTTGTCAAAAGCTTTCTTAGCACCTATTGATACGATCAATAGAAAAATAGTTTTTATTTTTCTTTTTATTGATGT